GCTTTAGGTGTTGGAGGCACTTCGGAAAATGATGATCCTTCAAAAATGGTTATGGTATTGGCTGCTACCAATTTTCCGTGGGATATCGATGAAGCTTTACGACGTCGATTGGAGAAGAGAATTTACATTCCTTTACCATCAGGTATTGAGCTATATTTCAATAAAACTCCTATTTTTTCTCTCCTGAATGTTGAACGCCAAACTTGTCTTAGCTGTTGACATTCATAAGAAATTGAACAAGGAGAAAGAAAGACTTCAAAGAGGAATCTGGGCAAAATATGTTTCTAGGCAAATGAATTGTTGGTCCCATTGTGCTTATAAGGACAGCTTTAAAGTACACTTGAATTATTGCACTTACAGAGATTTTAGGATGACAAGAAGTACAGTTAAGCCTATTTTTAAGAGTCTGTCTTTTAAGCCTCTATGTTTTACTTAAAATGAATATCGGTTATAACCCAAAACAGTTTCCACTTTACGGAATTCTACCTAGTATGTAATGCAAAAACTTAACTCTTTTCCCCCCATGTATTACATTTTTATAGTTTTTGTGTCCTCTTTTCAGCCAAAGGTAGAGAGGAGCTTTTGAGAATAAACCTGCGAGAATTAGAGCTTGCCGGCGACGTTGATCTTCCCACTATAGCACAGAACATGGATGGTTATTCTGGGGCCGACATTACCAACGTGTGCAGGTATGCTGAGACTGCAGTACTTCTTATGCCATTTTCACCAAGCCCCAGTTCTAAGCATCCATACATATGGTAATGAAATTCAGTTGGGATGCTTGTCACAGTCCAGACATTACTTGTGACATAAAGGGGACTCTACAGATTTCAAACTGCAACTGTCATCATCCTTCATCATAGGTTAAGCTAGTAAGAACTGATGGGATATCCAGGTCAACAACCACAAGTTGCCCAAGTTTTGAAGTTGATCAGATTTCACAATTTTCTCAAAATGATTATTTTAAAAAGAGCCTAGGTCAAGACATTAGAGATGATCTCATGAATGCTTTTTTGCAAGTGAAGTAGGATACTTTCTCTTTTCCTAAGTGTGAAGATAGAGAAGACCAATGAGTTTAATATTGGGGAGGGGAATTGCCGTATATACTCGAGTATAAGCCGATCCAAATATAAGCCGAGGTACCTAATTTTACCACAAAAAACTGGGGAAACATATTGACGCTAGTATAAGCTGAGGGTGGGAAATTCAGCAGCTACTGGTAAATTTCAAAAGTAAAAATAGATACCAATAAAATTACATTAATTGAAGCATCAGTAGGTTAAATGTTTTGAACATTTACATAAAACTGTAATTTAAGATAAGACTGTCCAACTCTGATTAAATCATTATTCCAACCTCCTTCAATGTAAATGTGCTTACGTATGCTTCCAATAATAATGAAGAGAGTAAAATAATGGAAATGTAATAATAATAATACAGTAAAATAATGGAAATATAATAATAATACAGTAAAATAATGGAAATGTAAAAACAACAACAACAATAATAATAATAATAATAATAATAATAATACAGTAAAATAATGGAAATGTAATAATAATACAGTAAAATAATGGAAATGTAATAATAGTAATACAGTAAAATAATGGAAATGTAATAATAATAATACAGTAAAATAATGGAAATGTAATAATAATAATACAGTAAAATAATGGAAATATAATAATCATAATAATAGAGTAAAATGATAAATAACTTTGACTCAATTATAAGTTGAGGGAGTTGGCTTTTTTAGTCTTTAAAAAGGGCTGAAAACCCCGGCTTATACACAAGTATATACGGTAAGTCTGAATATAAATGCAAGAGAACAAGTTCATTTGAAAACCGTTCAGAATAATTATGTATTTGCTTTCTATTCAAACCTACATTCAAATATATATTAAGGTTATGATAAACAATAATATACTTAAGGTAAAAGTCAGTCTTCCTCATTAGTGAATTAAAATGTGATGTATATCATTAAAGAGGAATCTTTTAGCAAAGGGATTCTGATCATATCCATCCTGCACTATTACAAGTGTTCCAGCTGGATATTCTGAAAAAAAATATTTCATCCAAGTAGAATTACATATTGAATGTGAGTTTTTTTAAAAACTGCTAATAAGTCATTATTTTAGTGTCAGTTAAGTGCCGAATATTCTCATTAAAGCACATAAAACTTTCACACCAACAGGGATGCTTCACTAATGGCTATGAGAAGGCGGATCGAAGGCTTGACACCAGAAGAAATCAGAAACCTTTCCAAAGATGAAATGCATATGCCAACCACAATGGAAGATTTTGAAATGGCTTTAAAGAAAGTTTCAAAATCAGTCTCTGCTTTGGACATCGAAAAATATGAGAAATGGATATTTGAATTTGGATCATGCTAAGCCCTCCTTCTTACTTTGAGAAATCTGCCTCAAGTCTTCAAACAATTCCAGAAGTAATGAAAAAGTAGTGCTCCTGGGCATGGAGTAATATTTTTTAACTTTTATAATTACACAGAAGAGCAATACACTTAATAAAGTTAGTTTTTTAAGTTGCAGCTCACTTTTTTCCTCTTGGACCAATTGTCCTTCTGCACAGCTGAAATTTGAAAAGTTGAACCTTTTTTTATAAAGTATTTTGTTTACAAGACACTGACAAGATAAATCATATAGGTTTTTGCAGCCTTCATTTCTTTAGCTCGCCATCTTTATTTCTGTTTATCAGTATGGTCAAATTTCAGGATGTGCCAAAGTATCCTGAAATCTGTAAAGTATAATTTTTCTCACTGATTATACTTTCAAGAGATGATTTATGCAGTTCTTACAGCACAGTCGAATGTGCGAGTAGCTCATAATTCCAGATAAGTTGATGATAAAGCAGTTTACATAATAAAGGGGAGTTCTGGCACTCTTTCTTATAACCTTACAGGTCAGATAACTGAAGCATAGAGAGATTAAACTTCACTTCTTCCTGTGATTAAAAAAAGACCACTCCTAGGCCCAAAATGGCCCGGGTATGGACTGAAAACATATACACAATTCTTCAGGTTTCCTGGGACAGATGCTACCTGGTAGCTTTCCTCAGTTGCCAGCCCTGCAGTAAAGAATGCTTTGCTTTTATGAGAAGCAAATTCTGTGTGAGATATGTTTGAAACTATCATATATAGCCATGTATAAAGCAAAAAAAATGCCCCCCCCCCAAAAAAAAACACGGATCGGTGTGAGTAGCTTTCTCTGTCAAGGTGGTGCTTCTGGCCTTTTTGGAATGGCTGAGTGGAAAAACTGATGCCTCCCCATTGATTCTTTTAGGTTTTCTCGATACAGACTAAGAGGTTTATACAACTTATGTTCTGGGCTGATCTGGGGATGACTTGATTGTTAATAAGCAAGATTATTACTCTCTCCACATCCACCTTCCATCTTGCTCTTACATCTATCTAGAAAGTGGGGAACATTAAATTCAAGGAGAACCTCCATATAAAACCTTGAAATGCATTTTTCCACGGCAAGATAAGCAGGTCTCCAACCAACATGAATATGCATCAAGCTCTCCTTGAATATCCTCAAATTCAGTGGGGTTTTTTTCTGTCTCGGGAGCGACTTGAGAAACTGCAAGTTGCTTCTGGTGTGAAAGAATTGGCCGTCTGCAAGGACATTGCCCAGGGGATGCCTGGATGTTTGATGTTTTACCATCTTTGTGGGAGGCTTCTCTCATGTTCCCGCATGGGGAGCTGGAGCTGATGGAGCTCAACCCACCCTCCTCAGATTCGTACAGCCAGGCATGTAGCCGGGGGGGGGGGGCTTGAGAGGCTCATGGTGGTCCACGAGAAGGCCTTACTGGTACATTATTTAAACTGTTATGTTTATTCATATCATGATCTGATCACCATGCTCAATATATCCCATATGCATGGGGGTATTGGGGTAACGATACAAAAGGTTTGCTAGGGTAGACCCTCTCACTCAGACTCAGCTCCCCTCCCCCCCGAATCAAAATCCTGGCTACGGGTCTGCGTACAGCTGACCTGTTGGTCTGCTTTCCTGGCAGACAAAGGTTTAACCCATTGCGCCACCGGGGGCTAACTTCAGTGTTGTGGCATGTACTAATAAATAGGTATTTTTATTTGAAAAAGAAAATGCTTTTCTTCATAAACTGCGAGTCTTGGATTCACTTGGAGATTTTGAGAAATAGAATTATGCAGTTTCACAGTGTTCATATTCAGCAAATATAGAATGTTACATTCCTAAGCAGGGAAGCCAGCAAAGTTAATAGTGCCAATTGCGATCTAATACATAATGAGACTGATGTACAATGGAAACCCATCCATAACACGACCTGAGCAGCTAATGTGCACTGGACACAGCAGGAGCTAAAATGCATTAGACACAGGTTAGGCACAGTGCATATCAAATACTTGCTGGAGACCAAATGCTCATCTTTGCAATGCACTAATAGAGCTCCTTAGCATCTCTGCTACATAGCAAAACACACACAATGTTTTATAGTGTGCATTATGACAAAATTCTGGCCACTTTTTTCACATGAACAGAATCTTGATTTTTTTTCCCAAGGGCTTTAAAAAGTTTTATACATTTAATGAATTCTTTATCATTTCTGGCTCTTAAAAGGTTGCCCAAAGCTGCTTTTAGTCTATTGTAGTTTGTTGTTTGCTACTGTAATTTTATATTTTGTTGTTTTACTGCTTTTACTGAAGGATTTTTTCCCTAAGTATTCTTAGCTGTCATCACGATACCAGTGTCGAAAGGTAAAAGAGAATAGGGTTGGGGAAGATGTGACCCTTCAGTTGTTTGACTGCAAGCCCCACTATATTGCCATTGGCTTTCCTAAGCAGGGAAGGTGGAAGCTGCTCCAGGATGTTTGTACATTCCTCACTCCTGGTCAAGAAATTCTGTGAAATGAATTATCCACTTTAAGATATATTGTTTAAAGCAGTTTTGCAGGCATTAGTCTAATTCCACATTCAGAAAGGAATTATACACAATTGTCAATTTGTCTTAACAGGTAAGGGTTTATTGTAAAGTTGTGCATGTACAAATTTGTGCATAAAACCATTCCTAGTAAATCATATTTTTTTAAAAAAATGTGTTCCTGGTTGAGATAAATTTATATTGTATAACATCAAGAAGCACAGATTTAGAAATACTTTAGAATTTAGTGTCAAGAGGCCTTATTATGAATGCCTCAATAAAGTGCTGGTATAGTCATGGCGCTCCATGCTGCCATGCCGGCCACATGACCTTGGAGGTGTCTATGGACAACGCCGGCTCTTCAGCTTATAAACTGAGATGGATACCACCCCTCAGAGTCGGACACGACTAGACTTCATCTCAAGGAGAAACCTTTACCTTATAATTAGATTGCCATTTGGGAGGAAAATAACTCATGTATGAAAGCTCCTCTGTTAACTTCCCTTATAAGGCACGCTTAAGGATAGCAGGCCTAAACTAGCTGTTTTTTGTCACAAGTGTGCCTAATCAAATCCCAGTGTTAATAAAACCTAATTACTTTCTGTTGCTCTGTTGAGCTTAAGGCTGTTGTCTTAAATCACATTTATGTGGGATTGTTTTTTTCTCTGGATATTTCCAAGCAGAGATTATTTGGATTGGTATGGCAAGGTTATGCAGTCAGTGCCGAAAGGACAATTAACTGTGTAAGAAATAGGGAAACTACTTCACAGAAGTTAAAAGTTTACTGAAGTCCTTTTGTAAGGAAACAGTTATCTTTTCTTTTTCCAGGAACGGCTGATGTAAAGAGGAATTGCAATTAATTATTTTGGGCCTCGTACTTAAGTATCTTGAAGTATTGATCATTCATAGGCTTAATACAGGGGAAAGTACACAATATATTAAAAATCAAGTGTCAAAGATTAGGTGAACAAACTCATTCAGTTGCAATGGTTGTACATTTCTCCTCTATTAGGTCTGTCTTCTCGAGCCTTTCTGGATGTAAGTTGATTGCAACAACAGGTATGATGGTGACATCATAATGGAGAATTTCCCTGAAAAAAAGAAATTGTCATTAAGCCTTAAGCTTTGGGAACACAAGATCTCAACCCTACACTGACTCTGCAAGATGTAAATATCTACACGTGGGCCTACATTGCATTGAGCTGTATACCCTCCTGCCAACTTATTCAAGAGTCCCCGAGTCCAGCCATGGATGCTTCTCAGTAAGCATAGAAAAGGTATTATAGATAAAAATGATATGATCACAGTGCTGATAACATTATTCCATGTCTGGTTATAGGGGTATGGCCAATTGCTTCTCTGAGCCTGCCTGCTCATTGTCAATGAGCATTGTCTATGTAGAGAAAGCCTGGGGGTTGGCTGCAGTGTCTGTGGAAGGAGGAAGGTTAAACCAAACCACATGGTGTCTGACACAAGACATGTTCATATGTAAGAGAAATGTGCATATGCATATTTTCCTAACATACATTCAGCCAAGAGGTATATTAAATGTTTTTCAAGTTCAACAGTGTCTCAGGTTCACAATTGCCAAAAGAACACAGGCATGAACTTAAATGGGACTGAAATAAGGACTTGGTGACTTCTCACCCCACCTAACAGTTGGCAAAGAGGAAAGAAACCCCCAGGGCCAGATGCAAGCAGTCATTTTTCCAGCAAGAGAAAGAGTGCCTCAAGGGTAGACTTTTGCCTCGGCCTTTGGGCCTCTCCCACTTGTTTCTTAATGACAGCTATGACAGCAAAGCAGATGGAAAAGAATGACAAGCAAATCATCACCTTTGTTGAGTAACATCTGTCTTTAATTCTGCTGGTCATGCAACAGCACTCATTTGATCTTAAACCAGTCCTATCCTACCACTTATCATTATACCAACTAGCTTTGCAAGGCCTATATGATAAGCACCTATTAAAGAGGGCTGCGTGGCTTATACAGTAAGCGCCTATTAAAAAATTAAAAACAATTCCACCTCAAGTGCCCAGAATGACAGCTGTGGCACATTCTAATTTTCACCAGATTTTTGTTCAGCTCTGCAGACCAGTCCTGAAATGTTGCATCACAATCCCTTCTCTCTAGTGTCTCATGTCTAGATCTGTATATCTGGAAATCAGTAGACAACTTACTGAGTTATCCTTTGGTGTCTAGCCCTAATTTGGAGACCCAAGTGTTCAAGAGAAAAATAGATGCCAAAAAACTGAAGTCTCCCTGGCCTATGGTTCCCTCTTCTTTGCTTCTCTGGAAGCAGCAATAGCGAGGGCTCAACAATGATTGCTTTCCCACACTGTTTTTCTTTAGCATGAATTGTGTGAGCAGAATATGCTCAGGTAGTTTCTCCATTAAATGCTCAAATGGAGTTGGATAGCTATCCAGTCTCTGTTTTAAAACCTCCAATAAAACTTGAGCATCCATGGATTTTGGTATCCTAGAACCAAATCCCAGTAAACACAAAGGGCCTACTATATCAGTTTTATTTTGTCTATATTTATAGAACTTTGAAGTACATGATATGAAATGCCTCTTTGTCTTAGAAGTTCCCTGTTTTTCTTCAGTTAATGTCTTCCTGCTTTTCTTTCACGAGTAACCAAACTAGCTATTTTACTCTATTGTGGATCTGAACTTATGAACAGCCAAGCACAGGATAGACAGACTTATAATATAAAAACAAGCTTAAAAGGACACTTACACTCAGGTTTTCTTTCCCCATTATTCTATCAATAATTTTGGGAGAATTATATTTGCAAAAGCAGACTGTGCTTTATGACATTTGCCGAGAAAAAATTAAGTAGTCTTTATATGTTAATAATATCAAACTCATATTCCAGAAATGCATTTACATCTAGAGCAGTGTTTCTCAACCTGTGGGTCCCCAGGTATTTTGGCCTACAACTCCCAGAAATCCCAGCCAGTTAACAAGCTGTTGGGATTTCTGAGAGTTGAAGGCCAAAACATCTGTGGACTCACAGGCTGAGAACCACTGCTTTAGAGGATGGAATATAATAAGGTACTTACCTGGGTTCACATGAGGGACACACAACTTTTAAGACTTTTAGGATTAAAGAAGCTCCTACAACTCCAACCACAACGACCCCCATGAAGTTAAAGAACACCGGGAAGAACTTAAACCAGAATCCGCATAGGTCTTTCCTCAGGTCTTCTACCCACTGGCACATTACCTGAAAGAGTAACAAAACTGCCACTAAAATTCAAGATTTATAACCATAGCTAGTATCTGTCGCCTTTCTGAAAAGGCTATGTCTGCAACTTCCCCAACTCCTCTTTAAAATTTGATAATTAGATTTTGCAAGGCACTCTACATCTTGCTTTGGCCATGAAACAGAAGCATTTTGTAAGGGTCCACTACATCCTACATGGCTCCAGAGAGTGTAGGAAATGTCCTCCCAAGCCTTTGGAGTTGCTCATCAGATGATTGCGCACGGAGTGGTTGCTGTACAAGGAAGTACTGACAACTTCCACAATTACATTGAAGTACACAAAGATATTTCAACATCAAGAATACAAACATCCCAGATTCCACTTGGAATTTGTGCTCTTTATATTTCTGGTTTTGATGCTTCTGAGTGTTGACTTGGTAATTCATTTTTTCTTCCTTATTTTCCAAAGTTTTCAGCAGGAGTAGGGGTGTGACACTATGACCCTCCATATGTTTTACTGCAAGTCCCATCAGCCCTTGCCAACATAGCAAGAGATGTTGGAAATGGCAGTCTGAAAGGTGGTAGGATTCCAGTCCCTGAGACAGAGCAAAGAAACAGCCCTTAAGAAGTCCCATTTGCTTTTCTCCCTTGATATACATTCAATGACCACTTGGACTAAGAAAGAGAAGGACTAAGAAAGGGAAGGACCCACTTTCAGGGGGTTCTGTTAAAAGTGTAAAAGGAGCCTAGAAGGTTCTTCCTGTGCCCTGGGAAGAAAGAAGATGAAAATGCACAATCCAGGCACCTGCTAGTTTGGACTTTAGAGCTTTTGCTTCCTTCCTGCTGTCCACTGCAAACACTCAAAAGATGCTCATTTACAGCCCCTGGTCTTCCTTACCTGGGGATTTTGAAGAAAGTGGCATTCTTGCTGAAACATATTGCAACATGTATAGTATCAATGACTTCCCCTTCCTCTACATGTGAAAGGACTGCAAATCAGCATGTTGTTGTTTTTTTGTTCAGTCGCTTCCGACTCTTCGTGACCTCATGGACCAGTCCACACCAGAGCTCCCTGTCGGCCGTGGCCATCCCCAGTTCCTTCAAAGTCAAGCCAGTCACTCCAAGGATACCATCCATCCATCTTGCCATTGGTCGGCCCCTCTTCCTTTATCCTTCCATTTTCCCCAACATCATCATCTTCTCCAAGATTTCCTGTCTTCTCATTATGTGGCCAAAGTACTTCATCTTTGCCTCTAATATCCTTCCCTCCAGTGAGCAGTAGCGCTTTATTTCCTGAAGAATGGACTGGTTGGATCTTCTCTCTGTCCAAGGCACTCTCAGAACTTTCCTCCAACACCACAGTTCAAAAGTATCTATCTTCCTTCGCTCAGCCTTCCTTATGGACCAGCTCTCTCATCCATAGGTTACTACGGAGAATACCATTGCTTTAATCTTCATTGCCAGTGTGATGTCTCTACTCTTCACTGTTTTATCGAGATTGGTCATTGCACAAGAAGTGAACGTCTTCTGATTTCCTGGCTTCAATCTGCATCTGTCAATAATCTTCATGCCTAGAAATACAAAGTCAGTCACTGCCTCCACATTTTCTCCTAAATCAACATGAGATAACATGAATTCGGTAAAAAATGCTTCAGTCCCTGGCATTTCATGGTGTGCAGCTATTCTATCTGCAGCTCTTGAAAGCTGTCTCTTGTCTGTAGACAGAACTAAAGAAGACAGGCTAATGATCTGGCCTGGTATCATGTAGTGGACTATGTACCAACAGTACTCTGTGCTCTTATATTTTATCCTGACTTGCATCATTTGGCCACCTGGTGAGTCTGCAGAAGTCTCATTTCACCAAGGGAGGTATGGAGATAGAAAACATACCTTGTAGGATGATGTGGGCTCTGTTCTCAAAGGAGTCTCTGGCAATTTTCCGGGCACTGTCTCTTCATCTATCGTAGTTTCTACTTGTCTAAGAAGGTAATGGCTGGTTGTTTGTAGAGGGCTTTCAATATCGGCTTCAGCAAAAATAAAAAGGACAGGAGACTGTTTTTATCATATGTTGTCATGCTCCGTGCATTTACCACATTGAATTGATTGAAACCACTATGAATAAACCTAAAGCACCCTGACAATTTTCCTCCAGTTTTGTAAATCCTGTAGTTAATTAACAAATTTAACATTTCCCTGAAAAAAATTAAAATCCAAGAGCAACCCCCCCCCAAAAAAAAAAAAACCAACTACCTCACTTGAATTGCTATAACCACCTCTATAACAGGAAACAAATAAACGGACTAAAAAGACATTGATGATAAACATGGTCAGGTACCTTTTCCTGCTATGTTTGGAAGTGTAAATAAGACATCGTTGTCTCTGGGGATGGAATACAGCATGCTTTCTTTCAGAGGAACGGTGTAATTTGTATGCCTAAGGACTTGTACATCTTTAACCAATACATCTACTTCAGTCACTTCATCTTGCTGAACCTGCGAAAGATAAATATTAATTATATGTGCAACCTTCTTGGGTAAGAAAGGAGGGAGGCTGTTCTGAGATTATGAAAACAAGGAGGCAATGGAGAAAAGATGTACAGAATCAGAAGATGAGATGTTAATCTGATTCAATGTAACAGCAAAGCAGTCAACTTCACTCTCTGAATGAATCCCGTTTGGAGAAGCCATTAAAAGAGAAAAAAGATGTGTTATGAGACACTTTCCTGAAGAAGAAACTCTTCTCAGTCACCAACCTCTTCATTCACTAACTTGTTACGGAAAGTATACTATTCTCTTTCGTCATAAATAAGCTGAAGATCTGGTCTCTATTGGGGTAAAGACAGAAGTACAAAAACAAAATGAAACAGCAAGTTGCTAATCAAGACAATTGGGGTGGGGAAGAATGAAAGGAAAGAATTCTAGCTGAATCAGATTCTAATTTCCTTCAACCTTTCAACAGTGAATCTCATTTGCCTTCTACTGTTCAGTCTTTATGTGATCTGTGGCTTGTAAACTTGCAGTGCAGTTTAGAAAAGCCATTAGGGCTACAGAGACAGGAGTGAATGTGACTTTCACATTAAATGCTATCATTTCAATGTGAACTCCCAAATAAAGAATTTGTGTGGTCTATTAAATGCATTTAATGGGAAGTAAAAGCCTAGATCAGAGAATTGTTTCCAAATAAGTATGGTAAGGAGTGACAAATAAGTGTGGTAAGAAGTGTGCCTTCCCAGAATAGGAAACTTCAAGCATCATGTCCCTAAATGCACTTTACTAGAGATTTAAGATTGTCTGCACATTGCACCTATCTCCAAAAACCTATCTATTTCACCTGCCATGCCCAGCATTTTAAATTTTTAATCATTACACTGGCCTGGCCTTAGTTTTTAAATGTGTCATGGTATTATTGTCTAATGTTATTTGCTATTGTTTTACTGTTTATTGCTGTTTTATGAGTTATTTTGTTGTATTTGTGATGCTGTTGTTTTTGTTGCGTTTGGGCCTCGACCTCTTGTAAGCCATACCGAGTCCTTTGGGAGATGTTAGCGGGGTACAAATAAAGGATTATTATTATTATTATTATTATTATTATTATTAAGTGGCTATTTTTGTTGTTGTTTCTGACTCAGCCATTCTTAAGGTGCTACGTGATTTTTCCTGAAATGAGAAGAGAAAGCATCAGCAGCTATAAGGGGGACCTCTCAAGAGTGTTCACTGAGCAACTTGAGGAGCAAAAATCAGAGCATCATTGTACAATAATTCTATGACACAGAAAATTATTTTTTGCCACTAATACAAAGCTCACTTTTGTAAAACTAAACTAAAAACTACAACATGCAGGAAGGTGGTTCCCCGTCAAATGCAATGATCTGGCATTAGGTAAAATGCAGAGATTTCTCAGTGGATATAATATATATGAACTTAGAATAATAGCAAGATCAACAATTATTGGTTCACTGAAAATGTGAAATGAGATTGGAGACTTGACTGTCATGATGATTGACTGTTTCCTTGTGGAAACACGCACAATGGGGGCAGCTAAAAATAGCTGTACACGCAATTACTGCACAATTGTTAAATGTAAAGTACAACACACAACTCCGCATGGCAAGTTCTCCCACGCAATGATGCATCCTAAACAAGTCACGAAGTTATGGATTCTGACTCCTAAACCAGTTAATTTTCTTCTATTTTTCCAGAGCGGTGTTATTAAATATATTTGCAAAAAGGAGATAGAGGGGAGAAACCCTATTTTTTGTTTAATGATTGGGATGATCATTTTATTCAGTACTGGAATGGTTTAATAATAAAATTTAATCACAGCTGAAAAGAAGAACAGTGCACCCTGGAAATCATTTCTTATACTGAGTGTAGATGTATGTTGTGTTCCACACTGAATGCATCTATTTTGAAAATCATCTAAATGATATGGTACCTTCCATGAAAATGACGGATCGTGCATATAAAAATAATGAGAATTACAATTTTAATGTGTATAATTTATGAGAGATTCATTAATTATTTTGTAAAAGCATTCATTACATTGTACTTCTTTTCAAGAGAAGCTATGATTGTTTCACATTATGCATTCCAATTTGAAAATATTACTTATTTACTATATTTTTACATTATCCCTTTGTTTACAGAGTGTCCTGGATGACAAACACACAGTGAAGAGATCTGCCCTTGCACTTTGCAACTCACATGCACAGTGTGGAATACATCTCACCACGTTAAAACAGTGGATGTGGCTCTTAATGAGAGATGCTGCATTATCACAGGATGTCTATGCCCCAAACCACTGGAGAAATTATACTATTTAGCCCAGGGGCCCTCAAACTAAGGCCCAAGGGCCGTATTCAGCCCTCTAAGGTCATCTACCCGGACCTCACTCAGGGTCAACCTAAGTCTGAAACAACTTGAAAGCACACAATAACAATAACAATCCTATCTCATCAGGCAAAAGCAGGCCCACACATCCTATTGAAATACTAATAAGTTTATATTTGTTAAAATTGTTCTTCATTTTAATTATTGTATTTTTAAGTATTTTTTGCACTACAAATAAGATATGTGCAGTGTGCATAGGAATTCATTCATTTTTTCCGAATTATAATCCGGCTCTCCAACAGTTTGAGGGACTGTGACCTGGCTCTCTGTTTAAACAGTTTGAGGACCCCTGGTTTAGCCAGTATTGCACCACCTGACATCTACCAGGAAGGAGCATCCAATAATGAAAGGACCAAGGCAATACATCTCCGGCCCATCCTCTGTTCAGATCTCAGCCAGCAAGCCAACATCTTAAATCAAGAAATAGTTTTCTAAGATCTACAGAGATACTCACAGGAACACCTCAGCAAGCAAGAGTCCAAAGGTGGCAGGCTAAAACCCAGAACCTCAACCCATGGCGGATACTGAGAGACTTCCTCCTGGACACACAGAAGACTGGGCGACTTGGAAGGTACTGAACAGACTGCACTCTGGCACCACGAGATGCAGAGCCAATTTTAAGAAATGGGGCTATAAAGTGGAGTCCATAACACATGAAGCGTGGAGAAGAGCAAACCACAAACCCTGCCACATGCATGATGAAGGACCTTCGCTCAGCGATACCAGAGGCACTCCAAGTGGCCAGCTTCCAGTCAAAGGAAATGTAGTGTAATGCCAAGTTTTTAACTTTATTTTTGTTTTTAAATACATTACCACTGTACCCTCGATTTGCTTCTGACATGATAAATAAATAACACCTTATCAACAATTAAAATAACAAATTTAACTAAAACAATTAGCAATCATGTGTTGATTTTTAAAATCAATATTAATGGCAGTCAAAAACATGAACATTTTCAAGCTCTGCATAGAGTTAACGTTGGCTTGAGAATGAAAATATTTGTTTCTGTTAACTGCTGTCATAACCAAGCAGATGTCTTCATCCAGGATTTTTTCTTACTTTCTAAATATGGATCAACATGACTTTTCACTGCAGAACCCCTCCACCAATTAACTGTCTTACATGCACAGTGTTCTGTTCTAATCCCGGGGGAAACAGTTACGCCTACATCGTCTCCAAAAGCAAATATACACCGCCAGAATATTCAGAGACAGGGAGGAAAGGCAAACACCCTTTCCCAGTTCCACTGATAAAAGCAGTTCCCAGAATCAACAGCTCTGCTGAATCCATACAAACACAGAAATCCTGTATGGAAGTGAAAGGCCTGCATGTCTTCTTTCAATGACTTAATTAATTTGTTAATATATTGATTCATTTATAACTTTAAAAAGTCGACTAGATTGAAAGCATACAGCCTACTGCACAAACATGATATATAACAGCTTGTGTACACAGACAGCAAGGAAGCTTCATGTTCACACCAAGGATGAATTGGGCTCCAGGAGATTTATAACCAAGTCAGAAAATATAATGAGGCAACTGAATATATTTTACCTGAATTCCATCAATTTCGGTCACCTCCTCCTGAACAACAATCAGCCGCAAGTCGGAGCTGGATGCCATTGGCCATTCATGGACCATAATGCGGACATTTACAATTCCTAATCGCTGCTCGTCTGATAAGTCGTCAGAGTTTCCACTCCTCACTATGAATAAAAAATGCTGTATAGGGGTTATGCGGAAAGATATTATCTCTAAAAACTAGTTACACACAACAAGGTGACTGATGAATGGCAGGCTGGATCTGGCACAACAATTCAATCTAGTAGAAAAAATGAGCACAATTGTTAAATTACATTTATTTAGTAGTCCTACTGAGTGCGAGAGGATGTAAAAGGTAAAGATTTCCCCTGACATTAAGTCTAGTCATGTCCGACTCTGGGGATGGTGCTCATCTCCATTTCTAAGCTGAAGAGCCGCTGTTGTCTGTAGACACTTCATAGCTATGTGGCTAGCATGACTGCAGGCGTGCCATTACCTTCCCGCAGAAGCTGTACCTACTGATCTACTAACATTTGGATGTTTTCAAACTCCTAGTTTGGCAGGAGCTGGAGCTAACAGTGGGAGCTCACCCCGCTCCCTGGATTCAAACTGCAGATCTTTCCGTCAGCAAGTTCAGCAGCTCAGTGGTTTAACCCACTGCACCACCAGGGGCTCCTATGCAAGAGGATGTACTTCCTTCAAAAGTAAACTGTAAGACAATATCCATACTGAAATAATAATGCACAGGACTGCTTCCACTCTATCAGGCCCCATGGACCCTTCATTGTTCTCCCTAAAGGAAACCATGTTGTTTTAGGCTTTCAAAAGCCCGTTTCAAAAACACTTTAGCAAGTCCTTTGAACAAGAGCCGATCAAAAAGAGGAGATGATCTCAGAAGCTAACCTTGAGACTAGTCATAACCGGCATATCAAGCGACTACTCTGTTCATGAAAGGTTCATCAATAGCATGTAATTGTTCTGGCTTCATGAATTATGTAAAATGTTGCCAGCACAGGCAGATTGAGATGTTTCTGTTCAATGCAAAATAAATGAATGCAAAGGGAACAACAATTTCCCTTCTGGTACTAAAAGCCATTACTGATTAAGGCTTCCATCCTTTCAAGAAAACACTCACTCCTGCCAGATAGACACAATTTAAACTAAGAAAACTCGAAGGAAAAAAAGTGTTTTGCAAAGATTATCTGAACCTGCCCTCACAAGACTGTATTATTTTTTCTTCTAAGCAATGAGTTTGGATTTATGCCAATTTAAAAGAGGAGACAGACAGGACTTATCAGGGTGGGGTCACATCCTTGCATTTATGCGACTGAAACTCTCACACAAATTCTTTGCCTACTACAAATAAATTAACTGAACAGGAACTTTGCTAAAGGCAGGATCTGAACTTAATTTGTGTTTTGTTGTGGACAGAATATGCAAGTGCTGCGAATGGGAACCAGAAAGGGCATCCACTTTTGTCTTTCCTCCTTTTTAAGTCATATTTATCCCAATGGCTTTTTTAACAGAACATAACATGTAGAGGATGTCAAGCCACGTATGTTTTAAATTGCTTTTCATGAACTACAAATTGCAAAAAAAAAAAAAAGGCAACCAGGAATTAAGCTGTACTCACATATTAAAGTCTGACACTTTACCCGGGAAACGCCACTCCTTAGCGGAAAGTCATTGACATACACTTGATCATTAATATAGCTGATATTAAGAACAACCTAAAGAAAATAAGAGAGTTATGCCTATTTTGAAACATTGAGGAGGATCTGTCTACACTGTAGAATAAATGCAATTTAATCCCATTTTAACTACCATACCTCAATGCTATGGAATCATGGGAGTTTTCATTTGGTGATATACCCATTCTCTTTATTAAAGTAAAAGTAAAGGTTTCCCCTGACATTAGGTCTAGTCATGTCTGACTCTGGGGGTGGTAATTATCTCCATTTCTAGGCCAAAGAGCTGGCATTGTTCATAGCCACATCCAAGGTCATGTGGCCAACATGACTGCATGGAGCACCGTTACCTTCCCGCAGAAGCGGTACCTATTGATCTACTCACATTTGCATGTTTTCAAACTGAAACAGAAGCTGGGGCTAACAACAAGAACTCACCCCGCTCCCCGGATTCAAACCGCCAACCTTTCAGTCAGCAAGTTCAGCAGCTCAGTGGTTTAACCCACTGCACCACCTCTTTGTTAGAGAAGGATAAATATCTTATAAACTTACAACCCATTTTTAAAATTCCTAAAAGCCAGGAATGAGAATACCTAAAAAGGAGCTGCTCCCTTTCATTTTTCATGCTTCAAAGCAACTGAGCTGCACTCTGATCAATGTGTTTGTTTCCCTAAAGTGCCAATATGTTTAAGCCCGAGAGACAAGGGGTGGCCATCGGATCCCAAGCTGGAGGGCTCCTTTGGAGCAATGCCTTGTGTCCCAGAGATTCCGGGGCTGTTTTCCCCCCCTTCTCAATGCACTTTCAGGATTGTTTACAATCTTAACCCATTGCACTGTTTTTGGCCCAAGAGCCAGACAGCTTTTGGAAATCCCAATATTTTGAGTGTCTGTTTTGCTTGCCGTTTCATTCTCCCCCTGAGCCTGTTCCATTGAGCTGCAAGCCACACTTGGGTTTTGTTTTGGACCTCTAATACAACTAGCTGCACCATTTGGAATTGGTTTGGGAGACTTGAAAACTCTGTAATAAAAACATCTCAATTTCAAAAAACAAACAAAAACCTACAACCCCCTCGATTCCACAGTGTTAAACCATGGCTGTTAAAATGGTGTTAGACTACATTCATTCTATAGTGTAGATGCACCCAAAGAGAAGTGTAATTTTGTCATTATTTCACAAATTATTAACAGCAATTACCAGAATCCAGTTCTTTGTTGCAAGAAGGAAACAGACCCCTCTTAATTGCAGTGACTAATGACCAATAAGCTGGGTCTGCGATGGGGGGCAGGATAAGATTCACTGTGTATGTAAACACTACAGTTACGTAGAAGTATAGTGCACTAAGGGATTCTCACTAATATTCTTCAAAAACAGAATATAAAGAATCCCCAAAGCCAGTTTCTAAACTAGTTTTAAAGCCAATTGCCATCTAAAATATATCTTAGTGCCTGCTGGAAGTGAAACAGAGGTGGACTTAGTACATTTATTGAACTACTACCATGTTTATGAATCTCATAAGTATTCGGTTTTTATTGAGGAAGCACAATTTAGAAACAAAGTAGGGTGTGCTAAAGTATGTGCCGGATGTCTGACATACCTGTTCTTCCTGAATATTCCCATTGCTTCCCAACATATTCACTTTAATCTTGATGTTTTCCTGCGGGATTATAAGGAAAGATTTGTTAAAGAAATGTTTTACAGATTTGTAGATAAGGAAATACAACAAAGACACCAGTTCCTTCCATATTACATAATTTTAGTGCCATCATTCTTCTTCAACTGCCATGGTCTCATCCTATGAAAGCCTGGAGTTTGCAGTTTAGTGAGGGAGGGGTGGTTAGAATTCTCAGTCAGAGAGCTCTTAGTGCCTCACCAAACTGCACATTCCAGGAGTCCAGAGAAAGCAGTCATGGCAGTGAAAGTGGAATCATGGTGATATTTATTTATTTATTTATTTATTCACTACTACATTTATATACTGCTTTTCTCACCCCTGGAGGAGACTCAAAGAGATGTACATCAAATAATGGCAAGATTCAGTGCCAGCATACATACAAAACAAATCATAATATCTAAAACGATGACATATAACTATACATTAAACCCTTAAAATCACATTAAAACACAGAACATAAACAAACATTTAGGCAATTAAAACATAGAATTAAAAACATCTTAATATTAACATTAAAATCACATCATCCAAGATCGTAATACAAAGCCTTTCCAGTTGTTAATTGCACTCATTTCCTATTCATTTCTTGTACTGCATTAAGTTATTGCCCAAAGGCTTGGTCCCATAGCAAAGTCTTTATGTTCTTTCTTAAGGCCAAGAGGGAAGGCGCTGATCTAATTTCACTGGGGAGGGAGTTCAAGAGCCGAGGGTCCACCACTGAGAAGGCCCTGTCTCTTGTCCCCATATTTGTGAGGTGCGAAAGGGGCCCAGTATTTCAGGATTCAGACAGAGATCACGCCACTTTCCCAAGCCATTTCCTTGCAAGGAACTATGGACAGCTGGTGAGATGAGCAAACAGTTGGACCCATTACAAGATGGAATTGTCCATAAGTTTTTACACTGGTATCTCTTGAGCCGTCTGGGAATAGGGGATGACACTCACTGTTCCTTCCCATTCTCTTTGTCGTGGGTGTGATATAGATCCTGCCAGTAAGTCATTGCCAGGTGTAATGTTGGCTGCAGCAGCAGAGCAATTGGACAAAGGCAGAGGGAGTAGAGGGGCAATTCTTCCAGCCCTCCTCCCTTGTTGTTCTGGCGTTCCAGTCAATATCACTTGAAACACAGAACATAAGTGTCAACCAAGTGACAGGACTCAAATCACACCTGCTAGCTTCCACGAAAAAGAGAACTGGAGGAGATAGTAAGGGTAGCCATCTGGCACCAAATCCAGGGTGGCACCGTTGGATAGTGTGGGGAGGTAGCTGTTTAAACCACCCTGTAGTCAATCTGGCATACGCCATGCTGGTACGGCCCCAGGATAAGAGCTCAATATAGATCTACTCTTTTCCAAGCAGTGTATGTATACATCAGTGATGACTGATCTTTTTTCCCTTGTGGCTTCCTAGCACTTTTTGCCAAGTACATACTACATATGCTGCTACATGATTAGACGGAAGTGTTTTCTTGCTGCACTTTATTTAATCAAAGCTCTCTGTGCTTTTTCATTATAATCCTGTGTATTAGATTTCACAATGTTTCCTTTGTGCCTTGATGTCAAAGAATGACTGACTCAGGCCCACAAAGGGGGTGGAGAGGGAGAAGGCAGCTGCGAGGCCTGTTCCAACTCTGAAAATTTGCAAGACTGGGAAAGCCTGGGTTGCGTAAGTTGTTTGGAAAGATGCAGGGATTGTGAAGCAGAAGTCATGTAGGAGAGCTGCCTCAAAGGCCAATGAGTGCACATACAACCGCTTTCATTTTTGCCCTTTTATTCCTTCCGATAGTTTTTCAGAAAGGATGTTTCTAAAGTTGTCGAAGGCTTTCATGGCTGGAATCTCTGGTTTGCTCAGAAGTCGAGGGGTCCAACAGGCCCCTCAACCTCTGAGGATGCCTGCCATAGGTGTGGGTGAAACATCAGGAGAGAATGCTTCTGGAACATGGCCATACAGCCCAGAAAAGTCACAACAACCCAAAGTTTCTAAAATTATTATGTTCTGAAAGTGAACTAGTAGATTCTAGTGACAAAACAAACATCCTTGTTTCAAGCTTTCACAGACCAAAACACACTGACCTCTCCACCTTTCTTCATCTAGGCTGGGGTAAGAATTGTGTGACTGTCTAGACATCACTGAACTTTGGGTCCCAGTATCTTGAACCAGTTTAGTCAATATTGAGGAATAACGAGCATTCAACATTTGGAAAGGCACATATTTCCCCTTTCAGAATAGATCTATGTACCCAAGCAAATGCCACATTTAAACATTTTCAGGGTTATATGTTTTGCACCCATTATGTCTCCAAAGTAGTCTATCCCCCACACAATGATATTCAGATATGCCAAATACTGCAGAATGCTCTGCATAGCTAGGATTTTTTTTCCTTAAAGAGATCAGCAGTCAAGTCCCATCGTTTATTAACACCATATACTCTCTGGGTCCAGCATCCTTAAGAAGCCTTTGCCGAGTATGCTTTTTACCTCCCAATTCCTTGTTAACATACAAACTCAATCAGTAGTGACTGAGAAGTGTTCTGAGATAGAGAAAGGGAATAACAAGATAAAATGAGGAAGATCATTCCAGGACAACAAAGTTATAGGAAACGAACAATGTTTCTTGAGATTGATAGGACTTCTGACCTTCCTCTCAAATATTTCTGTTTGTCACGCTATTCTGGGCAACTTCACTACAAAGGAAGACAAATGACCCAAGTGCCTCAAACCCTAGCAAAGCCCCAAAATTAGCAATTTATTACTATAACTTTTATGCTTTTGAAAACAGGACTTGATACTTCTGCAGGGCTTCCTTTACACTTCAACAGAACTACATGGCCTTGCTTTCCTACCGTTCTTTGCATCATGAACGGTCCACTCTTACTTCCTACCACAGAGCCATTCTTTCTGCAGTGAAAAGAGCCATGCCAGAAAAGACTCCATAGTAGAAGTGACTAAAATCAGTTAGGAAAAGAAAGGTAAAATTGAGGCCACCCCAACCATATCAAAAGAATGAAGGAATTTCCTCAGGCAACAGCAACACCCAGAGTAGTTCCTTTCTTTGTGGAAACAGAGCAAGTGTATTCTAGGTAGGCTGCCTTATACTTCTGATCCAGCATGCTACTCTTAAGTGTCATGAAAGATGCTGGAATGGAAGAAGCCAATCCTGTTACTTCTTCAGGTAGAAGTTGAATCAGAAAGGATTGTCACATGCTCCTCAGGTATCAAAATGATTGGCACATGCCTGTACTTCTCTTTTAAAGACAAGTCTCCGGGTTCCACTTCCAATTTGACCACAAAAATAGAGGATGCCTCCTATGTTGCTTCAAGCACAAGGTTCTTGCCAGGTTAAGTCTAGCTTGTCCATATGAAAACATGGTCTCATTCATAAAACAATATCAAACAACAAACATGACTAGAATGTTAATTTTTGTGCGTGTTAATTGTTTTACTCTGACACTTTTCATAAATTGGTTCTTTCCATATTAATCCATCTCACCGAAAACAAAGGTCAATTTAGTAAGAATGTAAATTATACTTTTCCAGATGTCTGTCCATAAATTTGATCTGGGAGTGCTCTACAGCTAGAAACCCCTTAGTGTACTAAACTGGTGGTTGCACTTTCCCACACAACAATGGGGATGATAGGTAGGCACTTGCTGATTCCATGGGATGGAGCCATGACACCTATAGTGATATCAAAATGATATAATTGTACAACGTGGATTCTCACAAATTCATCCAACTCTGGGGAGCATATTTTGTAAATGACTTCCTTCCTTCTTGACCACTGTGTCTATAGCTTTATTCTTAACACTAGCTACATCTCATGTCTATTCATTCCCCCCCTTTTCTCTCCACAAAGGAGACTCAAAGAGGCTTACATTAAAAGTATTTCAAGACAATTAAAAATCCCAAAGTATACAAACCTTAAAATAGAATAAAACACTTCAGAGCAGGTTTGGGCAAACTTCAGCCCTCCGAGTGTTTTGAACTTCAACTCCCACAATCCCTAACAGGCGAATTATGGGAGTTGAATTTAAAAACACCATGGTCGAAGTTTTCCCATGCCTGCTTTAGTGTAAGTAAGGCACAAACCACTGTGGCCAGATCGCCCCAAAAAGGGTGCAGGTGGCATACATCACCTAATACTGGGTAAAGGTTCTCCTGACCGCTGAAACAATGTACCTTTCCTGGAAGCTACCCTCAATCCAAAAGTTCATCTAAGCTACAAATCAGATTTTTCAGAGGGAGAACAAGTCCATTTAGAATTAGCTATGACTACCAACCCCAGATTCCAACTGATCAGCAACCGACCTGTCTTCTTTGGATTAAACTGTCTTGTCAGTTTATTCGCACACATCCAGTCCTTTACTGGATCTAGATCACTGGTTCTCAACCTTCCTAATGGTGTGACCCCTTAATACAGTTCTCGTGCTGTTCAGAAGAAGACCTACAAGCCACTCTGAACACCTTTACAGAAGCATACTAGAAACTTGGCCTGTCATTGAACATTGAGAAAACCAAAGTACTGTTCCAGCAGTCACCAGCCAACCCCTCTCCAATGCCAGAAATACAGCTTAATGGTGTAACATTAGAAAATGTTGACCATTTCCACCACCTTGGCAGCCACCTCTCCACCAAAGCCAACATCGACACCGAAATACAACACTGCCTGAGCTCTGCGAGTGTAGCTTTTTTCTGAATGAAGCAGAGAGTGTTTGAGGACCGGGACATCCATAGGGATACCAAGGTGCTTGTTTATAAAGCCATTGTCCTCTCAACCCTGCTACGTGCCTGAGAGACATGGACTGTCTACAAATGTCACATGCAACTCCTGGAACGATTCCATCAGCGCTGCCTCCGAAAAATCCTGCAAATCTCTTGGGAAGACAAGCGGACAAATGTCAGCGTGCTGGAAGAAGTAAAGACCACCAGCATTGAAGCGATGGTCCTCTGTCATCAACTCCGCTGGACCGGCCACATTTTCCAAATGCCTGACCACCGTCTCCCAAAGCAGTTGCTCTACTCCGAACTCAAGAGCAAAAAATGGAATGTTGGTGGACAGGAAAAGAGACTTAAAGATGGGATTAAAGCCAACCTTAAAAACTCTTGGCATAGACACAGAGAACTGGGAAGCCCTGGCCCTTAAGCACTCTTGCTGGTTGTCAGCTGTGACCAGCAGTGCTGTAGAATTTGAAGAGCCACGAATTGAGGGTGAAAGAGAGAAATGTGCCAGGAGGAAGGTGCATCCAGTCAACCCCGACTGAGACCGCCTTCCACCTGGAAACCAGTGCCCTCACTGTGGGAGAAGATGCAGGTCAAGAATAGGGCTCCACAGCCACCTACAGATCCACAAGAATATAGATCATGGAAGACTATCCTACTCGTCCAACGAGGGATTGCCTAAGGAAGTAAGTAAGTAAGGTGATCCTCAACCATAAAATTATTTTTGTTGCTACTTCATAACTGCAATTTTGCTATTGTTATGTATTGTAATGTAAATATCTAATATACAAGATGTATTTTCATCCACTGGACCAAATTTGACACAAATGCCCAATATGCTTAAATCTGAATACTGGTGGGGTTGGGGGGGAGGGCAGGGGGGGGCGATTGATTTTGTCATTTGGGAGTTGTAGTTGCTGGGAGTTAACCTCAAATCAAAGAGCATTCTGAATTCCACCAATAATTGAATTGGACCAAACTTGGTACAGAGAACTCTCCTGACCAACAGAAAATACTGGAAGAGTTTGATAGGCATTACTGACATTGAGTTTGGCAGTTGTAGTTCACCTATAACGAGAGAGCACTGTGGACTCACACAATGATGGATCTGGACCAAACTTGGCACAAATACGCAACATGCCCAAATGTGGACACTGGTGGAGTTTGGGGGAAATAGACCATGACATTTGGGAGTTGTGGTTGCTGGGAGTTGTAGTTCAACTACAACAAAGAGCATTCTGAATCCCACTAATAACATTGGGCCAAACTTCCCACACAGAACCCCCATGACCAAGAGAAAATATTGTGTTTTCTGATGGTTTTTGGCGACCCCTTTTGACACCCTCTTGTGATCCCGACCCCCAGGTTGAAAAACACTGACCTACAGGAACAAAAAGACAAGAGAAAAAAAACACACACACATACACACATACATTCCTATCCCTTGCCAAAAGACATAGATACAGGCACATGATGCTCAGAGCTCTGAAGGGCCCTTACTGGGCAGTGCCATCTAAGGCACTCCACTCAGTGACAGAAAGCCTTTGGGTACTTCTACAAAAGGAATGCAAAAAGCAAGTAGAAAAAGCACACAGAGAGACACACGTCCATGGGTGGCCAAGCGGCAGCCCTGGACACATAGAGAGATGTGCTGCTTTTTCTAGGCAAGAGGCAGCCCACCTTGCCTGTCCGCCCGCCTCTCTTACCTGGTAGAGGGGCCGGGCCAAGTCCTGCGTGGGGACAGGGGACACCGGCGGCAGCACCAGCAGCAGCAGGAGGAGCAGCGGGAGCAGCAGGAGGAGGAAGAAGAAGCCGCCACGGGACTGGCGGGGCCCCGGCGGCAGGAGCAGCAGCAGCAACGCCGCCGCCGCTGTCTCCATCTTAGGCGCAGGGAATTAAAACTAAGTCAAACATCAACAAAGGCGGGGGGGGGGGAGAGGAGGAGGAGGAGCGAAGGAGCCCTCCCTCCTCCCTCCTCCCTCAGCCTCCCAGCGGGAGACGGGAAGCCTAAGGCTGGCGGAGGGGCGCTCCCACCCGGAGTCAAGGCGAGGGCGCCCCTCCCTCCTCGCCTTCTCGTCACAATGTCTCCCTGCAGGCACGGCCACGTGCTTCTCCCTGCCATTCATCCCAAAGGGGGTTTCTTCGGGGCGGGGCGGGCCGGGGGGCGGATCGTGTTCCTTTGGGTGCTTCTATGCCCAAACGTGGGAGCCCCCGGCAGCGCAGCGGGTTAGAGCGCCGAGCTACTGAACTTGCTGATCGGAACGTCGCAGATCCGAATCCAGCGAGTGACGTGAGCTCCCGCTGTTAGGCCTAGCTTCTGCCAACCTAGCAGTTTGAAAACATGTAAATATGAGTAGATCAATACGTACCACTCCATCGCTCCATGTAGTCATGCTGGCCACATGACCCTGTAGGTGTCTACGGACAACGACAGCTCTTCGGCTGAGACATGGAGAAGCTTCTGCTAACCTAGCAGTTCGAAAACATGTAAATATGAGTAGATCAATAGGTACCACTCCGTCGGGAAGATAAAGGCGCTCCATGTAGTCATGCTGGTCATATGGCCCTGTAGGTGTCTACGGACAACACCAGCTCTTCGGCTGAGACATGGAGAAGCTTCTGCTAACCCAGCAGTTCAAAAACATGTAAATATGAGTAGATCAATAGGTACCACTCCGTCGGGAAGGTAAGGGCACTCCATGTAGTCATGCTGGCCATATGACCCTGTAGGTTTCTCTGGACAACGCCGGCTCTTCGGCTGAGACATGGAGAAGCTTCTGCTAACCTAGCAGTTAGAAAACATGTAAATATGAGTAGATAAATAGGTACCGTGGTGATAGTATGATAGCTGGGTCCGGAAGCTCCGAGCATTATATGCACATTCCGCAACAGTGGTTGTAAATAAGGGAAAGGGAGAGCGGCACACTGAGGAGGCGGGAATAGACTTCAATTTGGTGGAAGGATAGAAAAGGGGAGGGTTGGGTCCCAACCTAATTCTAACCCTAATCCTAACCCTTACTCAACCCCAAACCCTACCCCAACCGTTGGAAGGCGCTGAACAGACTGCGCTCTGGCACCATGAGATGCAGAGCCAATCTTAAGAAATGGGGCTACAAAGTTGAATCCACAACATGCAAGTGTGGAGAAGAGCAAACCACTGACCACCTGCTGCAATGCAAACTGAGGCCTGCCACATGCACAATGGAGGACCTTCTTGTGGCAACACCAGAGGCACTCCAAGTGGCCAGATACTGGTCAAAGGACATTTAATCAGCTACCAAGTTTGCAAAATTTGTGTTGTTTTTTTTATCTGTTTGTTTGTTTTGTTTTGTTAGAAATGTAATACAATGTTCTGGTTGCAGATGACACGATAAATAAAATACCCCAACCGTTGGGATAAGGTTTAGGGTTTGGGGTAGGGTAAGGGTTAAGGTTAGAATTAGGTTAGGTTTAGGGTTAGGGTTACAATTAGGGTTAAGGCTTAGGGTAAGGCTTAGGGTTCAGATTAGGGTTTGGGTTTTACCATTAAAGAATTCTTACATTCCTCCTATATCTGTGTTTCATTCTGTGTTGTGCAAACAGCGCTCTCAAAGGAGCGAAGCGGAAACAGCGTAAGGCTCAGAGCTTCCGGACCCAGCTTTCATACTATTACCAGGTACCACTCCGTCGGGAAGGTAAGGGCACTCCATGTAGTCATGCCGGCCATATGACCCTGGAGGTATCTATAGACAATGCCAGCTGTTTGGCTGAGACATGGAGAAGCTTCTGCCAACCTAGCAGCTCAAAAACATGTAAATATGAGTAGATCATTAGGTACCGCTCCATCTGGAAGGTAAGGGCGCTCCATGTAGTCATGCCGGCCATTTGACCCTGGAGATGTCTACAGACAACACCGGATCTTCGGCTGAGACATGGAGATGACGGTAATAGCATGGTAGCTGGGTCCAGAAGCGCCAAGCGTTACTTAGATGCCGCATTGCTCCTTCAGGAGCGCTGTTTGCGCAAGAGAGACTTGGCTAATGCAAGCCAAGCCAGAGACAGATAATATAAAAGGAATGTAAGAGTTCTTTAATGGTGAAACCCTAACCCTTACCCTACACCTAACCCTGAGCCATACCGTAAGCTTAAGCCCAACCCCAAACCCTGACCCTAACCCAAACCCTAAACTTTACTCTAACCCTAACTGTAACCCAAACCCTAAACCTTGCCCTAACCCTTACCCTAAGCATCCCCTCCTTTCTATCCTTCCCTCGCTCTCTCTGCTCTCACTCTGCCCCCTCGCTTCCCTTATTCACAGCCGCCTTTGCTGAATTTCCATAACTCCCGAAGCTTCTGGACCCAGCTATTATACTATCACCGAGATGACCACCAACCCACAGAGTTGGACATGACTAGACTTAATGTCAGGAGAAAACCTTTACCTAGCCCTATACCCAAACATGGAGAAATTCAAGAACGAGTAATTCAAGAATGAGTCACCCAGAGGAGGGCAACTCAAATGATCAAGGATCTGGAAAACAAGCCCTATGAGGAGCCGGCTTCAAGAGCTGGGCATGTTTAGCTTGCAGAAGAGAAGACTGAGAGGAGGCATGATGTCCATGTATAAATATGTGAAAGGAAGTCATAGCTTGTTTTCTGCTACCCTGGAGACTAGGATGCATAACAATAGCTTCAAGCTACCGGGAAAGGAGATTTCACTTGAACATAAGGAAGAACCTTCTGACTGTGAGAGCCGTTCAGCAGTAGAACTCTCTGCCCCAGAGTATGGTGGAGGCTCCTTCTCTGGAGGCTTTTTAAGCAGAGGCTGGATGGCCATCTGTTAGGGATGCTTTGAATGCTGTTTTTCTACTTCTTGGCAGGGGGTTGGACTGGATGGCCCATGAAATATCTTCCAGCTCTATGATTCATAGGGCACATAATGAATATAGAAGAATCACAGAGTTGGAAGAGACCTTGTGGGCCATCTAGTTCAACTTCTTGCTTTGAAAGCAGGAAAATCGCATTCAAAACACCCCTGACAGATGGCCATCCTGAAGAGGACAAGGGACACCTATGTAACTTGATTTAACTTGTTTAATAAATAACCTTAGTATTTAGCATTAGAAGGAAATCTGTCTTTGCCATCATTTTAAGCTATGAGAAAACACACACAGGAAAAGGATCACATAAGCAGAATGAAGAAAACATGTACCAAATGGGACAATAAAGAAGCTATCACCTTCTTTAGATATGCAAAGAACTCTGTGTGATCCAGGGAAGTCATACAAGCAGGCAATGGCAATACAGTAGAGTCATGTTCAAAGGGTTGGCAGTTCGAATCCGGGTAGTAGGGTGAGTGCCCGCTGTTAGACCCAGCTTCTGCCAACCTAGCAGTTCGAAAACATGCAAATGTGAGTAGATCAATAGTTAATAGATAGATTATCAGATGCAGGACAATTAATGCCTTGGTGGGAAGGTAAAGACGCTCCATGCAGTCATGCTGGCCACATGACCCCAGAGGTCTTCGGATTAGAAATGGAGATGAGCACCACATCCCAGAGTTAGACTTGACTAGATTTAATGTCAGAGGAAACACTCCGAAGGGTACTTAGCATGGCCTTACAAAAGGCAAACATTAGATGCCATACATATCAATAAAATAAGGAAATACATTTTAAAAGGAACATTTAAAGACATTAACATTAAAACATCATTGAAATCACACAATCCGAATAATTATCCAGGGCCTTTCCATTTGTCATTGTATTAGTTTTGTAGTTACTTATTACACTGCTCAGAGTTACTGTCCAAAAGCTTGGTTCCACAACCATATTTTTATTTTTTTCCTGACAGTTGGGAGGAAGAGGGCTGATCTAATTTCACTGGGGAGGGAGCTCCATAGATGAGGGGCCACCACCTAGAAGGCGCTATCTCTTGTCTCCACCAACCACACCTACGTCGGAGGTGGGACCGAGAACAGGGCCTCTGCTGACGAACTTAACCTCCCAGGTGGATCATAGAGGGAGTTAAGTTGGGCCAGAACTGTTTAGGGCTTTATAGGCTAAACCCAGCACTCTGAATTCTACTTGGTAGCAGACAGCAGACAGCGGAGCTGATGTAACGGGGGTTGTATGCTCCCTGTAGGCCACTCCAGTGATTCATCTAGCTGTCTCCCATTTGAAGCTTCCAAACAGTCTTCAAAGGCAACCCCACATACAACACATTGCAGTAGTCTATTTGGGATGTTACAAGAGTGTGGACTACCAAGGCCAAGTCTGGCTTTCCAAGGTAAGGGCACAGCTAACTGGTGCACACATTTTAGTTGTGCAAAAGTTACCCTAACCACTACCAAGATCTGGGGTTCCAGGCTCATCAATGAATTCCCAAGGTGCGAACTTGCGTCTTCAGCAGGCATGGGCAAACTTTAGCCCTCCAGGTGTTATGAAGAATGATTTGCAAGTCCATAGGTTTTGAAAACATGGTCTTGAAAACGTGACCTTGGAAGTTTGATCCTTTCTGGGCTTCTGTGAGTTTTCTGGGCTGTATGGCCATGTTCCAGAAGCATTCTCTCCTGACGCTTCACCCACATCTATGGCAGGCAACCTCAGAGGTTGAGAGGTCTGTTGTGAGGTTTACATATCCGTGGAATGTCTATGGTGGGAGAGAGAACTCTTGCCTGCATGAGGCAAGTGTGAGTGTTGTAATTGGCTAACTTGATTAGCATTTAATGGCCTTGCAGCTTCAAAGTCTGTCTGCTTCCTGTCTGGGGGATCCTTTGTTGGGAGGTGTTCGCTGGCCATGATTGTTTCTTGTCTGGAATTCCCCTGCTTTTTGGCTGTTGCTCTTTATTTACTGGCCTGATTTTAGAGTTCTTTTTAAAATACTGGAAGGAGCCCCCCGGTGGTGCAGTGGGTTAAAGCGCTGAGCTGTTGAGCTTGTTGACCGAAAGGTCACAGGTTCGATTCTGGGGAACGGTGTGAGCTTCCGCTGTCAGCCCTAGCTTCTGCCAACCTAGCAGTTCGAAAACATGCAAATGTGAGTAGATCAATAGGTACTGCTCCGGCGGGAAGATAACAGCGCTCCATGCAGTCATGCCGGCCACATGACCTTGGAGGTGTCTAAGGACAACGCCGGCTCTTCGGCTTAGAAATGGAGATGACCACCCCACACCAGAGTCAGGCATGACTGGACTTAATGTCAGGGGACAACCTTTACCTTTTTAATGGTTTCCTCCTTTCTGGGCCCTTCCACACAGCCGTATAACTCAGAATATCAAGACCAGAAAAATCCCACAATATGTTCTTTGAACTGGGATATCTGAGTCCACACTGCCATATATTCCAGTTCAAAGCAGATTATGTGGGATTTTATTCAGCTGTGGGGAAGGGGCCTCTGTTGAAATTGTCCACATGCTTGTGGGTTTGAATGGCTTCCCTTTCATTTCTCTTCCCCTTTAATGTGAGCCTAAGTTTATAGTCTACGTGCTTTGCTGTCAAGCAGGGGGAGGGCATGGTCTCAGAAGTGAGAAAATACACCCGGAAGCTTGGCCCTTCGGTGTGAGTCTATTAAGTACATGAGTCTACGAGAGTGTTTGTTTTGTTTGCTGACGTCAAGTAGCGGGGAGAGGTGGAGCTTCCGCTAAGGCGGGAAGCCTGGAGAGGTTTCCTTCCGGGACAAAGGGTGATTGGCAGGAGTGGCGAAGGAAGGCGAGGGAGCCATGGCCGTTCTCCTGGAAACGACGCTGGGGGACCTGGTGGTGGATCTGTACACCGAGGAGAGGCCGCGAGGTGAGAGGGAGAGGCCGAATTAGCGCGAATTGATGCCACTTCAACTGCCATGTCTAAGGAATCCTGGGAGTTGTAGTTCTACAAGACCCTTAGCCTTCTCTGCCCAGTTGAAGGGAATTAGCAAGAGCTCATTTCTTTTTGAAATATACACCGCGTTGCAATTATTTCTATTTTCTTTTTCTTTGCAGCCTGTCTAAATTTTCTGAAGCTTTGCAAGATCAAGTACTATAATTACTGCCTTATACACAGTGTACAGGTAAAGTTTTTAAAACTTTTCTTTTCAATGTTTCCCCTCAAACGTTTGAGGAACAGGTTGTTGTAGGTTGTTGTAAACTTTTCAGTGTTTCCCCTCAAACGTTTGAGGAACGGGTTGTTGTAGCTTTTGGGGGCTGTATGGTCATGTTCTAGAAGCATTCTCTCCCGACGTTTCGCCTGCATCTGTGGCAGGCATCCCCAGACGTTGTGAGTAACGTTAAAATGTGTGTCATCAGCAGAGGCGGCCCTAGGTAATTTTCAACGGTAAGCAAACAATCACTGATATATATTTTCTGTTCGTCATGGGAGTTCTGTGTGCCATATTTGGTTCAATTTCATCATTGGTGGAGTTAGGATGCTCTTTGATTGTAGGTGAACTATACATTCCAGTAACTACAACTCACATATGTCAAGGTCTATTTTCCCCAAGAGCGCCTCAAGAGCGCCCCTGGGCAAAATCAACTATACTGCAAATGCTTACTTTGCGTAATGGGTTGAGCTGCCCCTGGTCATCAGTCAATCTCTGTATATAAAAGTCAAAGTATCCCAAAGGCTGTTGCTAGGTGAAGTGGTCCTTTGCAGTGTCGCTGGGAAAAGAAAGGTGAAGCGTATTCCTGTGAGTTTTCCGGGCTGTATGACCATATGTTCCAGAAGCATTCAAAGAAAAGCAGAAAGGGTATGAGGGGAAGGGAAGAGAAAGAAGGAGCTAAAAGAGGTTAGTACCCCTTCTTACACTGGGTGTGCAATAAAGAAAAGTATTGTACCTGACACTAGGGAGATATGCATGTGTGCCCCTCTCAGCTTGTTCCTTCAGTTTGTAAAAATGAGAAAACCCAATACAGTACAATACAGTCATTGTCAGATTGTAAAACCTTTTGCACAGTGATAAGTAATACCAGGATACCTTTATGCCTTATGCTGTTTCAGAGAGAGTTTATTGTGCAAACTGGGGACCCCCAGGGCACTGGGCGTGGAGGTGAATCCATCTTTTGGTGAGTATCATTTAAGCTTTGATTATATGCATACCTGGCTGGAAACAAGTAGCTTTCAATGCAGTGAGATGTGGACTCAAGTAAAGGTTCATTGGATTTAGCTCTCTATTGGTTAACTAAAGTTCATTTGAAGCACTGGCATATTTCATCTGGACTGGACTGGAGTTTTCCCAAAGACAGGAACTGGTGGGAATGAAGAGGAACATCACTGGCCACATAACCAACTTACATATTTTAGCAAACCTTCGTCTGCTGCCTTCTATAAATTGATGTGAATGTTTATGTTTTTGTTTTAGCTTAGATATAATATATCTGATAGGTTACATTTCATTTAACTTTAGGTGACATGTTTTAATGTATTTTTATATGTTATTACGTTTGTGTTTATTGTTGTATTAGGCACTGAATGTTTGCCTTTTTGTTTGTTGGAATCTGCCTTGAGTCCCCTCGGAGAGAGAGGGTGGAATATAAATAAATATTATTATTTGTACTTGGTTAACTATTTCAGTTGTGTCAAAACATCAGCAGGCAACTTCAGATGGTCCAGAGGGCATTTCTTGCCAACTTCCTCAATCCATCCCAGCTACTCGTGGATAAAACAGAAGTGACCAGAAAGTCATATTTAGATTTAAAATCCCATTTTTGTGAGTGGCTAAGACAAGATGTAATATTTAACCATATTATAAAGGACAGTGTCGCATCTTTGAAACTTCTGTAGGTATAGCTGCTTGTTTTGAAAAGCACCAGGATGAAGGAAGAGGCATGCACCCCACAAGCTACCTGAAATTATGTTAATGAAATGTAGAAGTGTCAACCTGAACTTCCCATCTGTGTTGTGTCCTAACTTAGTCTGACATGAAAAGAGCTTCCCTCTTAGAGTGTTGTGCTCTGGAGGCAACATGAGACCTAAGCAGAATCTCTGTATGTTTTGTGGACCCGATTCCTAGGTTGTTAAAGAAGTCCTTTTATTGTTGGAAAATAATAGAAACAACTTGGCAAAGTAAAGCAGATGATGCCTTCACTATATTACCGACACAAATCTTCTCTATTCCCTTCCACTTCACCCCACATCTTTCACTGTATTCAACAGTCTAGCAAGATATTTTATAATACAAGCAAATGCACTGGCTATTTGGAAATCTTTAGTGTATTGGCTACATAGAAATCTATACAAGCAGGAGATGTTCATAAATATATGCACGCATGCACACTTCTCCCACTTGTATAGATTTTTGGGTAGCCAATAGATTAAAGATCATCACATCCTTTGTACAGATATACCTCGTTAACTAGGAAGATCCATTCAGTCATTGTGTTTGCCGAATCAAGACGTGTGTTTTAAAGCAATCTTTGAGCACAAATGTGGACGTTGAGAGGCTCCCCTGGAGTCCTGTTTAGTGTACACAGAACTCTTACAAGAGTGAGGTTCCTCATTTGTAGAGAATTGAGAAATGAATGCAAAAGGACAGATACCAAGAAATAATCTAAACATGATCACAAGAATGCATAGCTATACTGGATATGTTTCAAAGTCAGCAATTTGATTTTAGCTGAAATTAGTCAATTACAATGTTTTGGCAATTTTCTAACTTTTAATGTCTGTATGTTTCAGCAAATTGTATGGGGACCAAGCTAGATTTTTTGAAGCAGAAAAAGTGCCAAGAATCAAACACAAGAAAAAGGGGACAGTGTCAATGGTGAACAATGGCAGTGACCAGCATGGATCTCAGGTCAGTTCACATTATTGTGATAAATAGCTATTGTGATGACTGTAGGGTGAAAGTTTTCCTTTGATGCCAAGGTTTTGTTCCTGTATTTCCATCTGTGTTAGGTGTCCTGATGTAGGTGAGTTATGCTATATTCCAGAATTGGTTGTAGCTATTTATGATTTGAATTGTCTCAGCCGTGGGCTGTAAATGAGAACTAGTTGACTTTTGACATTCTTTGGGCTTGGCCTGTCTTGTAGTAGGTTGTTTCTGGCTGTGAGTCTTGCCTTCATGATGCATTTTTAAACCCGAGTAGCTGTGTATTGATTTATTTTAGCTTAAGGTTTCACATATATCAGTTGACTTTTTTAGATTCATTAGTGGAGAAGAAAATACAGCTAAAGGTGTACTGGAATGCAAGACTGACAGTGTAATAGGATTAGAAAGATAAAAATTGTAACTCAGATGACAAACCTTCATGAAGTAGTGTAAGGCGATGAGATCTGTAAATGTGGCATTATTCTCCAGAATAGGTTGCAGCTTGTTACTAATGTGCTTGAATAGTCTCAAGCTGGAAGCTGTTATGTGGCAAAGGTGGCATCCTGATATTTTCTGTTGTTGTTTTCTATCTGTCCTGTATTAGACTGTTCCTGTCCTGTAATAGAGCATTGCCTTGTTGATTTGAGGTTTTTGTCTCATTTGATAGATGTTGAATTTGAAAAATGTTTTTTGCAAATCCATGAGTTTTGAGTCCCATTTTGTGGGTGTGAGCACATGCAGTTTTATGACAGGGCTTGGCTGTAAGCAATAGAACTAGCAGTACTTTGTGGGTCAAATATGAAGGTGTGTAAGTATGTGTAGTGATTGTATAGACCTCAAGAGCAAATGATATAATGGTTTTAATATGTGCCAATGTGTTACCTTTAGGCATTCTTAGGTGAGCATCTTGTTAATGACAAATTCAGGTGGCATTCCAATGTACATATCCCCCCTCCCCCTGCCCCTCGTCATTTCAGAAATTGTTATTCTCTTCCTCCCTTTGCATGACCAACCACCTCCCACAACTTGTGTTTTATTGCAATAGCACTCCCCCTTGGGCTGTTTAAGTGGCTCACAGAGAGATGTAATAGCCCCTCACCTCATGACCATTCAGTGACTAATGGAGAAGCATTAAACTAAACTCCCATAACTGAGATGCAGACTGATTACACCATTTGCCAAGATCTCTGAGGGCCCTTCTACACTGTCCTTTATCCCAGGATCTTTTCCCAGATTATCTGCTTTAAACTGGAATCTATGAGTCTCAATTGCTAGATAAATTGGGATAAACAGATAATCTGAGATCAAATCCTCAGATAAAGGGGCAGTGTGGATGGGCCCTGGAAGATCCAGTAGATCTCAACAGAAGAAGCCACGTGTCTGCAACTGCTTATGGAGACATGACTAGATTCTTCTCCAGTCTCTCCCGTCCACTTTCCACCAGGTACTGAATGAGGTGTGTGTATTCTGCTGCAGCTAAATAGTGGTGCCGTTCGGAGGATAGATATAGCATATCTTCTCCTATGGAATCTTTGTACTATCTTGTGAAAAAAGCATTAAGAATGTCATCCATGAAACTAAAATATTATTATCTTACTATACTGCTCTTGATCAGTGCAAGCAGAGAGAAGTGCAGATATCATAAGGAGTGCGAAGGGGGAGACAGGAAGTTCAACATCTAATGCTGTGGTATTTGTGATGAGTAATTCTCCTTTCTAAGAGATGGAGAGATTACAAGTTTCAATGAAGTGTATCTTGAAGAATGACACAAACAGTATCAAAGGCATGTAATTCCACTCTGAATAATAGCCAGTGTTGTTCTCTGTTACTCAGTTCTTTTTTCCTTACTAACCTTAGCTGTAGTGGGAGATTATTTTGACAGTTGCTAAGGACTCACAGAATATGCCAAGGACTAATTTTTCACAATTTTAAAACTTTTTAAATTGGCTCATTTGAGGCAGTGTACAACAGATCATAACAAAATGCATTGATAAAGCAATGGATAAAATTAATAAAATCAATGTCCAACAAGTTAAAATACTATCGCCATGCATTGCTTCTAGTGTCCTATCTCAAGAAGATAAGTAAACTGATTTAAAATGAAATCTAAATTACATGGAGATACTCACCATTCTTATAATTTAAACAAGTGTGGTATTTCTGTTTTCTAGTTTCTTATTACTACAGGAGAAAACTTAGATTACTTGGATGGTGTTCATACAGTGTTTGGTGAAATAACAGAAGGCATGGATGTATTGAACAAAATTAATGAGGCTTTCGTTGACAAGGATTTCGTTCCCTATCAAGACATCAGGTTTGTCTTTATTGTTCTGTTAGTGTATATACCCAAAGCTGCTTGGGTTTGCATTTGCTTTGTTGCTCTTTCTTTCCTTTCTCCATTTCCCTCATATACCTCCTCCTTCCTTTTCTTTCTTTCTTTCCTTCTTCCTTTACTTTCTCTCATACACCCCTTCTTTCTTTTCTTTCTCTTCCTGTTGCTTTCCTTCATACACCTCTTCTTTCTTCCCTTTCTCTTCCTATCTTTCTCCCTTCTTTCTTCCCTTCTTTTTCTTCATACACCTTCCTCTCTATTCATTTTTCCTTTATTTTCTTTCTCTTAAAGTGTCTCAAAATATTTCCATAGCACTCCTAAGGAGGTTCTCTACTGGTATTGGTATGTAGGCCTTCTGAGGAGGCCAATAGAATGTCTCCATGGCTACACTCTAATGCCGTCTTGTGAGCACTACAAGTGTCAGGCTCATTGGCCAGTAATGTAGATCATGTAAAAGGTTTGTAAACAAACAAAACAGATGGATTTCTGAACTTCTAATTCCACCCCGGAAGTTCATTTTTCTATATCTGCTTATAGATTATTAGATTATGGGTAGATGAGTGTGTTTTTGGTTTATCAAAAGGTGACATGATAGTCAACTGAATCTACACTTTTTGTATTTCTGATTTAGAATAAACCACACAGTGATCTTAGACGATCCATTTGATGACCCCACTGGTTTGACAATACCAGATCGTTCACCAGAGCCTACAAAAGAACAACTGGATGTGAGTGTTGCTGTTATACCTATGATACCATAGAAGGGAGAGGGCAGGATGGCCATTAAACAGAGGCTAAATGGCCATCTGTCCGGGGTGCTTTGAATGCAATTTTCCTGCTTCTTGGCAGGGGGTTGGACTGAATGGCCCATGAGGTCTCTTCCAACTCTATGATTCTAAGGGAAGAGGAAGATTAAATTCATGTCAATGAACTACAAAGAGACAGAGAAACACCAAAGATGTCAGTCTACTTCTCTGCCTTTGAAAAGATGAACAGAAAATGGAAAGGTTAATTATGAAGATAGGGGAACAAAATATATAATGTAATGCATGCTGTTTAAAGAACTGAGGGCTCTTCCAGACAGGGCCTAAAATGCAAGCCCTGACAGCCTTTTACCTGAGGCAGCCAAACAACACCTCAGGTAAAAATGAATGAATTCAGGAAAACCCTGCTTTGTCCTATATTAATTCGATGCCCCATTAGATCCCCCATTTTGTGGGGAGGTGCTTCAGAGCAGGTTTCTTTAACCTGCTCTGAAGTTGCCTTAAGCCCTGTGTGGAGGCGCTCAGAGATTGCCTTCATCTAGAAAGCCCTTTTTGTTTCTAGTATGTATTATACTAGAAATTATCATATATTATATATATAGCATATATAGTATTGTAAACATGTATTCTATTATTATTATTATTGTTATTATCATTTTTTTATACTCCGCTTTTTCTCTCCAAAGAAGAGACTCAAAGCGGCTTATTGTAAAACCAATACAATAAAATTTAAAACCTGAAAAACATACATACATTAAAATAGAATTAAATATTAATGGTATTAAAAATAAACTGTTAAAACTGATTTTCTCTGTGGTGGGAGGATACGATCTTCCAAGGACTTAAAGTATTTTATAGCTCTCTTGCTTTTACCCTTTAAAAGACCCTTTTGTGGGAGGAGGGGAAGCAGAGAAGTCATAGTGGTAAGTTACAGACTGATAGCAAGTGAGAAATGAGAATTGGCACATAATGTGTTTAATGGCAATAATCTTTTTCATTGTGATTTAAACTGTTTTAATTGTGTTCTTTTAATATAATCGTTCGCTTAATTTTATGGGGAGGTTGTATTAATAGGGATTTTTTTAGCTGTGCCTCTTTTGTAAACTGGGTATCAGTCACCCTGGACCCTATGCAGGGACAAGGGTGAGCTAGAAATGAAATAATGTGTGGATGACCAATATTTGTAATTTTGTATGGGCTTTTTGCACAGTCTTGTCCACTGTTTTGTGGACACAATGAAGTGCATTTCTAGTGATCTGTATATCTGTACATCTGTATATCTGTCCTTTCAAGCATGTGGATACATTTGCTTATGTTTCTGCTGGTTTATTTAGTTACAGTGACAAGATGTGTGAATAGTGTTAAATAGCTGTTATTTTCATATATTTTAATATAAGACAGAGTGGAAGAATAGGAGCAGATGAGGAAATTGATGATTTCAAAGGGAGGTCTGTTGATGAAGTGGAAGAAATTCTAGCCGAAAAAGAGGCAAAAACGCAAGCTATTCTTCTGGAAATGGTAAGTATGTTTGGCATATTTGCCCAAAGTAATCATCCCAAAATAAATTTGCTTCATGTACTCAGGATTTCATGTTACATAGATGGAAACTGAAATTCCAAGTCACTATATGAGTTTTTGCTATGTTTTGCCTCTTAGCAACAATTAACTCATTTTTAGTGAGTGGTAAGGATAAATGGGAGAATTTTCATGTAATATATATACACACCACACATATATAAATGTGTGTCCTCAAAATGCCCAGATTGTGTTAAGGAAGTTAATGATTGTAAACAAGTTTCAATAGATGTATCAATTGCAGGAACAAGAACTTCACACATAAATCTGTGTCCTTATTTATATGTTTTTATGTTATGACAAAATATCAAATAATAATCTTGTCTTGTTCTTGAGCTACAAGTCCAGAAGAGTAGCTGACAGTCTCCTAGCACTTTAACACTTGAAATGTGAAATCAGTGAATATTTAAAAGGGCTCAAACAAAAATATCTTATCATTTATCTTTAAGACTTCAAAATAACAAGATTGTTTCCATATTTCATTGCACACCTGAACATCCTTTACAATGTGTATATTCTGCAAGTATGTCTCAGATCATAAATGTGAATTGCCAGAATTTCTACATAAACTCATTCTCAAATCCCATCTTGTTTCGCTTTTTATACTTCAGGTTGGGGACTTGCCTGATGCAGATATCAGACCACCAGAAAATGTGCTCTTTGTATGTAAACTTAATCCTGTAACAACTGACGAGGATCTTGAAATTATATTCTCTCGGTTTGGGCCAATAAAAAGGTACTTATACAAAATCTGCACAAGACTATAGTGCAAAATTCACCCCCTTGCTAGTGAATCACTGAGTAGAATTATACTTTATCATTGAATCCTTGGGAGAGGGCCTTTTCACCTAGATAATTTTCTCCTTCTGAGAGAACCAAGTATTGATTCCTATTGCAATGTATTGGAAGAGTGTAACACATCTTTCTTTGGTATCCTAAATAATTATGCTACCAAGCAGAAAATATAGTCATATATTTTTGTGTAAGTACTATTCTAGGATTATTTGTAAAGCTTATTATACTTTCTGTTAAATATTTCCAGGCTAGTTTCTGTAATTTTTGCCTAGTCATGTCATTTAGTTGACATAATGCAAAACTATTTCTCATTTTGATTTCCCAACCCAAAAGTTACTTGAGTTTTTAAAGAGTGAAAGGAGATACTGAGTTCATATAGATAACATTGTGAAAGGAATTAATTCTCTCTGAAATAACTATTTTATTTTCTGATGTTTTATGAAATTTTTATGGGAGAAATCCATATTCAGATTGTGGATAATATGTTATGACTATGGTATAGAAAAGGGACCTCTGTTTCTGATTTTGAAGCATACTAAGAATACTAATATAAAAGCAGTCCAGGAGAATTGGTGCAGATTGTTTCCTTGGAATCTATTAAGGGGGTTTCTCACCCGTTTTACTTCCCAATAGCATCTGCTAAACTCGTCTCTTTTGAATATTAACAAGGAAAGTATGCTATTTTTTCAGCTGTGAAGTAATTCGAGATTGGAAAACTAGTGAATCCCTCTGCTATGCTTTCATCGAGTTTGAAAAGGTGTGTGACTTTGAAAATACACTGCTGCTTTATTTATATAGTGGCATATAAAAAGCCAGTGTTAAGATGTTCACTATCTGTTTCTCTTTTGGATATACTTTGTGTAGCATCTGGCTTGAAAGTTATTCCAGACATCAACACAAGCTCTCTGAACACTCCCAGTACTCTGTAATGAAGCTTTCTCTGTTTTGAATAAGTGTTTTCTGATTAAAACAAATCTAGTGCATTGGATACAGTGTAAATTTATCAGGGAGACTTGGATACCTATGTCGGCTGTTGATAGAAAGAAAAGGAACTTCTGGAATGTCATGATAAATTATCACCTTGCAAGGATTGTGAGCAGTGAAAATGTCATGACTTTCTTTGTAAAGAGTAGCACGTTGAGACACAGATCCATTTTGATAGCTTGAGTGCATTCAGGTTGTGAATCAGAAGGATTAGAGTTAATTTGTGGGACAAATGACACCCTGTTAATCCATTACAGTGCCCTGATTTAGACTTAAGATATTGTAATTGCTTCATATTCCTATTTGTGACCATAACACTATTGCTATAAAATCAAATATCCCTTAAATCCATCTTAAAAGCCAGCCAGTCAGCTCTCTGAAGTAATTTCTGTTGGAGAATGGGATGCTGTAGGATTCTGTGACCAGTCCTCTTCCATTAGTAAGCATGGCTATGAGGAGCAAATGCAGGAAGCCCTTTGGGGATTTGCTGCAGTCATCAACCCTTTATCTAAGGCCCCTTCTACACTGCCATAAAAATCCAGATTATCTGCTTTGAATTGGATTATTTGCAGTGTGAATTATCTGCTTTGATAATCTGGATTATATGCCAGTGTAATAGGAGCCTTAACTTCACTCACTTGCCACCAGAAAATACATTTGTCAATTTAGGTGGCTGACTGGCTTTTAAGATGGGTTTCAGGGAGAGGTGGGGAGTTAAAGGGTAGTTACAACATGTTTGATACAGGATCTTCGTCATTGTTTTTGAATTTAAACTTAACTTTGTTGATTTCTGCATTCTTATTTAGTATCTAGCCTTGAATACCTCGGCTCTTTGTGACCTCACCTTCATCCTGCTTGTTCCATAACACAAGTTCATGAGCCTTCTGCAGCAATAGGCCACACACTCTTTATTGTTATTTTTTTAATGCATGTCATCTTATTTTCTCATTGTCTCTTCTTAAAATCCATTTTCAGTAATAATGAGGAAATTAAATGTGTGAAATGATGTGGGGGCAGTACAAAGGTGTTGGAATGGAATTGGGTATTAAAAGTGTGATGTAATTGTTTTGCTTTTCTGTAGATTGTTCCTGTATGGTAGAACATTTGTTCAATATTATAAACATTTAAGTAACTAATCAGATGTACAAACATCTGATAAATAGTTATGTAGATCAATAATAGTGATAGTGATGGTCTGTCTGGCAAATAGAAATTAACATCCCATACAGAAATAGATTCTAAAAATCACCATGGAATTGTTGCTGAAATGTCCTGGAAAAATTGAGAAAGAGACAATGCTCTTCTAGTTACACTTTTTCTTTAAATTATATAAAAATATCAAAGTGCTTAGTATCTTGTTTCTGAATTTCATAAAGACTTTACAGTGATAGATGGCATAATATTTTGTCAGGGAAGCTGTTGGCATTTTCTATCCTAGATATATTTGGCAGGACAGGATGTTTTAACACTTTATTAGACTGGCTTATAACAATTGTTTTCCCATTCATATGGGAGAATGAATGGGAAAAGTGGCTATTAAGTTATTTTCTAACATGAACCTTTTCCCTTGAAATTCACACCAGGAGGAAGACTGTGAGAAAGCTTACTTTAAGATGGATAATGTATTAATAGATGACAGGAGAATACATGTGGATTTTAGCCAATCAGTTGCAAAGATTAAATGGAAAGGAAAAGGTAACGTTTGTTATTTTATGTGCCCTGTCTTGAACTCCATTATTGTAGTCTCCTTAAATGAGAAGCATGAGATGAGGACAAAAGCACCAGTATTTATGTCACTTCTAGATTAACTTTTTAAGAAGTTTCTTGAAATTCAGTATTTCCCTGTTAAAGTAAAGGTAAAGGTTTCCCCTGATATTATGTCTAGTTGTGTCCTACTCTGGGGGGTGGTGCTCATCTCTTCTAAGCCGAAGACACCTCTAAGGTCATGTGGCCAGCATGACTGCATGGAGCACTGTTACCTTCCCTACTCACATTTGCATGTTTTTGAATTGCTAGGTTGTCAGAAACTGAGGCTAAGAGCAGGAGCTCACCCCGCTCCCCGCATTTTAACTGCCAACTTTTTGGTTAGCAAGTTCAGCTGCTCAGCAATTTAACCCCCTGTGCCACCAGGGGACCTTGTTAACATTCTACAAATGTATCTTCTCAAATTGGATAGCATTTAGTATCTTCAGGGGGAAAAAATCCAGTACCGCCAGTCCCTGAGTTATGAAAATATGACTTACAAACAACTTATAGATACGATTGGGGCAGAGCCAGCCAGCTGGGGAGTGGTGGAGCTAGTTGTTTCTCCTCAGCCAAGGTGAAGGATGCTGATGAAGGAAGCTGGCAACAAGCTCCTTCGCCCCTCATTTCCAACCATGGCTGGGGAGCTTTGGTTTCTGGCCAGCCTCCCTTGCCCCTCACCAGATCTGTGGCTGAGGAGGAATGCAGGAGAACCTGTCAGCTCCCTCCCTTCCTCCTCAGCCAACTGGCTGGAGTTTTATTTTTAAAATGTGCCCATTACAGCTTACCAACAAATTCAGCCTAAGAAGAAACCTACTGAACTATCTTGTTCATACGTTGGGGACTTCCTGTAGTCAGTTTAGTCCCATTGCTGCTTTGGCTATGTGTGTTCATGCATAGGAGGAAGAGAGGCACGCCTAATCTATGCATTTCAAACCCCCCTGCTTTTAGGTTGTTCACTAGATATTGCCCCAAGAGGAAATCTCCAGATATTACTTGATAGTCTCATAGGCAAACCATGCACTTGTGGAACCCAAGGGACACAGCAGAATAACTAGAGCGACTCCTAAACACAAGTCCCAGTAAGATGAAATTCTCAGTATTCTGAAGCATGGGCACTCTCCAGTTCTTGCAAACTTTCTGGAGTCTTCTCTCTTAATCGTGTAGCTCCATTGCTAAGTATTGGTAGTCACAAGCATCTCCACAGAATCTCTGATGTCTGCAGGAATGCTTGTTAATCTATTTTATACCTACATGCAGATGACTTAGTAAAGCGCTAGTTATCTTCCTTGCTGAATGTTTGCTGAGAATTGCTGTTAATGTCAGTTGTTTATTGGTTTCCATATTCTTTCCATTACATTACTTTCTTCCTTGAGAAAGCATGCCTTGCTGTTCTAGACATTATGGGGGTTGACAGCATATTCTAGCTAGTTTGAAAACTAAGCCATTCTGAATAGTCACTTCTATTGAAGTGCCGAATTGAACCGTAAGGTGGCAGCACTTCCTTGAGGATTTCGTTCAAATTTTGTTAGCACATGCCATCATCATAAACATCTTCAAGTTACCTCTGACAACTTTTTCACAGGATTTTCTTAGGCGTGGAATATACCGAAGTGGTTTTGCACGTTCTTCCCTCTGGTATTTTTTTTTTTTTGCAGTGTCCCATCCAAGTACCAACCAAGGCTGATTCTGTTTAGTTGTCAGGATCAAACATGATCTGGTACCTTTGGAGTATTTAGGGCTCTGTGTGACAGGATTTAAAATATGTTGCATGCATAACATCAACAGGGAAAAGGAGAGGAAGTTATTTTGATGAAGAAAAAGCTGTTGACTACATCACCAGTATGACAGAACTTTTCCCCTCACTTCAACCCTTGGAGTTGCCGAAAAGTTGACTTCAGAAGATTTTTCAATCTCCATGAGCCATTTTGGGGCTTACTGGGATTGCTGCAGTGGAGGCGGAAATTTCTACCCTATTGATTCCCTTTAGTCCCAGTAGCAGAATCCCAGCCCCGACTATTGACCTAAATTCCTGTTGGATTCATCTCATCAAAGTCTGGAATATAATGAATCATTTTATATTATTTGAATACAAAAATCCTTACACATTACTATTCTAAAACCTCCAGCTATTATGTATTTATTTTAGGAGCTATTTCTTTAAGAGCAGCATTATGTCAGATCTCTCCTGGAAGATTAAGATCATCCAGTGGTTACAAAACTGACATTAAGGTGGTTTTTGTTTGTTTATTTTGGTTAACGAATGGATTCTTTGGATCCTATTTCAATTCATATTCAAAATCAAGATCTCTGTGTCATTTCCTGTAAACAGGTGGGAAATACACAAAAGAAGATTTCAAAGAATATGAAAAGGACCATGACAAAACTTCTAAACTGGGGCTCAAGGAGAAGGCAAAAACTAAACAAGAGTATCCTTAAGAACTAAATGATTGTCTGTTGTGTTAGAAATATTCTTCTAATTTTCATTTTTATTATAAGCATGCTACATCTTACATGTATCTTTCGGGATTGCATTTCTGATTTATTGCAATAATCTCACAAATATAAGTAGAAAATATTTTTAGGAGAGGATTATTTATCTATTTTATTTCCCATATTTATTGGTGTTGCAGGATGATTGGCTTGTTTGAATTTAGCTATCTTATTGAAACGTAACTTCCATTATGTGAGGTTTTACCTACGTTTTCCTTAACTCATTATGGCAGCTCAAAATATGACCTTGTATTGGACGACGAGGAGCCAGAAGCCAAAATAAGTCATAGGCACTCTGACAAGAAGAAGAAGAAACACCACCATTCAGATGACAGCGATGAGGGTGAGAAGAGGACCAAAAAATCTAAGGTACTGGATTCGTTCCCTTTCAAATAAGTGTGTTTTTATTACTGAAATCCTCTTGGTTCTTTCTTCTAGGACAGGCATGGGCAAACTTTGCCCCTCTAGGTGTTTTGGACTTCAACTCCCACAATTGTAACAGCCTGTTTGAAATTGTGGGAGTTGAAATCCAAAATTCCTAGGCACAGTTTGCCCATGCCTGCTCTAGGGGGTGGGGTGGGAATCAGAGCTGCATGTTTATTAGTCACAAGTGCTTAAGATCAGTCCCAGGTATCCATGTTGCACCCCAATCAGAAGCTCAGTTTGTTGCCTTGGACTCTTCCTCATCTACTTATTGTGAAGAGGCATCTTTATTCAAGGAGTCACCTGAAGAATGCTGTCTATGTAATAAATATGTAATTTAATAGTATTTATTATTTATGTTGTATAATAAATAAATAAATAAATAAATATGTAAGCATTTTCCCATGTGGGAGAAGGCTAGTCCTAGGCCCCTTCCACACAGCTGAACAAAATCCCACATTTTCTGCTTTGAACTGGGATATATGGCAGTGTGGGTTCAGATAACTCAGTTTAAAGCAGATATTGTGGGATTTTCTGCCTTGATATTCTGGGTTATATGACTGGAAGGGCCATTAGACATGCATCCTTTAGTGACACAGAATTCAGTTTTATTTGGAATCAAAGGCTAAACCAACCCATTATAAGACTTTAATACTGTGTCTGTGTTTCATACTGTATAAATGACGTATGGATTTTTTTTCCCTTTACTCTTCTTATGTGCCACAGTTGATTCTTGTGTAATTTGTTCTAGAGCGGCTCCATGTGGTTAATCACAAACATCATTGTCAACATATTTTCTTTTCTTAATTAGAAATGTCCTTTGGGGGTCTGATGGAGTCTTCTTTTTTGGGGGGATTTGAACTGAGGCTGGATGGCTGTCTGTTGGGAGGGCTTTGAGCTGTGTCTTCCTGTCTGGCTGAAGGGATTGAACTAGATGCCCTAAGAGAGCTTTTTTTTTTTTTTTTTTACTTCTCCTTGCTCTCCTCTTCTTCTTTCTCTTCCTCCACCTCTCTGGCTGTGGCTAAGACCACTATTTGGGCTGCTGCCATTGGAGGTGAAGCGGATTGCTGAGGATGACAAGGAGGAGGAAGATGGTGGGGCCTTGGGCTTGGTGCTGCCTGAGTGGCCGCCATTGCTGCCTCTGGCTCCTCCTCCTCCTCCTCCTTCTTCAGGGATGGTCAACATATTACTTCCAAGTAGCTGTCAGACAGCCTTTGTTCATGGGAGCAGAGAGGTTTTTCATATGACACAGCTATGGAATACAGGCAATACACTAGGATGTTGTGACACACAGTTTGGAGAGCTCTGCTCTACATCATATTAAAATCCACAGTTGGTAGGTAAAGTAAAAAAAAAAGATACTTAAATATCAAATCCTTTTCATTCACCTGCAAAACCACATTTAACTATATATCTGTGAAGAGGCACTGATTTAGCTCAAAAATTAACTCTAGGGATAAGATTCTTATACAGATACGTAGATTATTTATTATTGAACTTGTTGTTATTAGAGAAATTTATAATTTCTTTTAAAATTATATTTTTAGTTTTACCATCTATTCTTTATGCCTACAACCATTTTCTGTATTTCCGAGTATTCCAAGTAGATTTCTAGGTTTATGTGACACTTTTTAAAATGTAGGTTAGATTAGCATTTTTGTTATAAATAGATTTCACAGGGGTGGGGGGCAAAAGTGCTGCTCTTAAGCAATATGTAGACATGCATAGAAAACGGGAGGATAATTCAGTATGAATCAGAAATAAGCTCACGTATCAAATCAAAATAGCAAGTGTCAGTCCAAAACCAACAGCTTTTTCAATACAAGATTTTAAATCCAACTAACCACTGGTTTTTAAAACCAGGCTATTTCAAATTATAAATCTAAAAATCCAGTAAGATACACTCATCACTGAAAGTTTGACGTACAATTTTATGAATATTGATTCATACGCTTTCTGCAAAAGATAAGAGATGGAGAAATTGTGATAGGGAAGACCCATGACTATGGAAGAGTAATGTTATGTTTTGGAAACAGCGTGTTTATACCCTTAATACAATTTCCTCTCCTGCTACACTAATTGGTGGTTCTGTTGGGAGTCCAGGTACATTGTGTTCAAAAATTGATGAATGCTGCAGCAAACTCAGTTCAGTTATACATTCGCAATAAAAACTATGTATCCAAAAGTGATATAAGCGAAAGGTTGCTGTTTTCCAGGGATAGAGAGAGGTTATGGGCTTGGATACAAGAAGCATCCAAACATAATTGACTGTGTTGCATGGAAAAACTGGGGAGGGGAGGAGATTTGAGGCATAAAAGCCCATTGTAGAGCCCTCTGAAATGCTGTTGATTCTCTTCTGAGGGGACTCCACATGAGGTTTTAGGGAAACATGAGTGACCTTCCAGTTTTGTTAACATTTTGAATCTTTTGTAATGGAGTATTTAAGGCCATGCTGATGTTGTCCAAGGCTGTGCGCATTTTAGGCTCTGAATTTGCCTACGACTGATTGTGAGTGATCCCTGTTTTGGTTTGCCTTTGTATTTATTTCAGTGTGTTAACCCCATCCCATGTGGCTTCATTCTGCCTCCAGGTCAGTTAGCAGATCAATATAAATAACAATGAAGCACTGCCAACTAGTAGGCCAACAAATTGTTATTCTTCCTGAAAGCTTAAAGCCATACTATATCTTAAAGCCATTTTACTGCTTGTCTGCTTCTGGGTCTTTATTGTATACTGACAGAGGGAACCTTCAGAGATTGTGTGAGAACAGGTTCTGTAAGGAAAGAGCCACACGCTTATTTATCTTGCTGGTCAGGACAGAATAGAGGGATACTGGCCTTCCCTTCTTCCTTCCTTCCCTGACTGTTCCTGCCAATATTTAATTACCTTTTCTTATGTCCACCTGTGTAAGTGGGAGAGAAAGCAACTACTGCTGCTCTTGGAATTGGAATAGCCTTTTCTGCCTTTTTAGGGCCATAATGGGAGAATGGAATGGCTTTGGATTCATGGCCTCCTCTGACTTGGTCCGTTTCCAGCCCCACTCCTGTTACAGCCACACCATTCGAGCAATGATGACAGAGTTTAGTCTCCCCCAAAGTTTATTGCTTCTCCCATTTTCAGAAAATGCTTTAAGAAAAAAGACCATTCTCTCTGAATTAGGTTTGCTTCCTTAAATAGGTTGACTGATGTTTAGCTGCATTTTAACTATGGCATCTAGTATATTGTCTTTTTATTCTTTTTAAAACTTTGTTTGTGTTTTTAAATGCGTTTTAACTATACCCTCAACTTGCTTCTGACACAATAAATAAATAAATGTATTTTCATGGCTTTTACAGCCAGAATCACTGAAGTGCTGTGTGGTTCCTCTGAAGATGCCAGCCACAAATTCAGGTGAAATGTCAGGAGAAAATGCTGCTAGAACACGGCAATACAGTCTGGAAACCACACAACACTACAGTATGTAATGTTCGAAATCATTAGGGAGTGCAGCAGTAGCCATAGAACATTCTAAAACTTTCTGATTTGTATCTCTTGGAAAAACAAGTCTTCTTGAAAGTTTCTGAACCTGTGCAGGAACTTTATATCACTTGTTTTTAATTTCCACAGTAAGGCATGTTAGGATTCATATTGAAAGAAAGGCAAAATATAAAATACATCATGGGCCCTGTATTTTCAAGGGATACATTGCTGGACTTTGTGTGCAGATAATAGCAAACTGTCTTGAAATATGAAGGGCTTTCAGCCTAAGAATATCATAGAGTTTTACTGAAAGATTTAGAAAATGCCGAGAGGCCATTTATTGCTGCAAGTGAATAAATGAAATATCAGTTACACAGATATGAGGGTTGTACTGTAAATTTTTAAAACATGACCTTCCTTTTGTATCAGTGCGGAATTAACTGTTTCCAGGTATTGAAACTCCTGTGAAATATGTTAGTTTGTACATTCTTCCCCTTAATTGGTGCATCCATTCAATCTCTAGGATCAACATAGAAGGAGTCATGACATAAAGCATTGGAGCTATTCTTACACCTTTCCGGGCCATACAAACGTCCATATAATGTGCAAGTAACACCTTGATTCCCATTCCTCATAACAGGACCCTGATCGAAAGCACAAAGAAGAAAGCAGTAGAGAGAGAAGAAAAAGTGACAAGCGAGAAAAACGCCGAAGCCGTAGTCGTAGCCACTCCCGGAGCAGAGATAATCGCTATAAGAAGTCTAAAGATAAACGTCATGAAGATTCCTGGGAAAGGGAGCATGAGGAGAGGAGGAAATCCAGAAGCCCAAAGAAATCCAAAGATAAGGACAAGTCCAAATACAGATGAAGGAGTATCAAACTTTTCCCTGGCATGGAGAAATCAGACTGTTGCCCTAAAAGACTCAAAGTTCAGGCCTCTGATTAATTTCTTCCTTGTGGGAGGACATCTTACAGTGTGGGTGCAAGTACAGTTTGAAGTGTAAAAATCTTGTTTTTCATTTGGATTTGAGAAAGTAGTCACAAAGTCTTAGAGTGCAAGTCCCTCCTTGAGCAGTGATGAGGAATTTGCAATGTTCTGTCTGTTTTCCATCACTAAAAAGAATATTACCTAAAGACAGCCTTGAATTGTAGGAGGCATTGAAATTGGTTGTTTACTGTAAGGCATGGTTAATTTCCTTTCTGTTATCATATCTGTAGAGGAAGCTGCATATAACCAGAGAGTATCCCATTATGCATACTTATTTTGATATTAGAACTTTCCACTGTATGCATACATATTGAAACAAAGTTGAATGTGTACTGAAGACGATGTATTTGGCTTCCTATGCAGAAATGATAACCATGTAATAAAAGGTTTCTAAATTGCTTTCCTGTGCTGAGACTTTCTAGTAAAGGCAGTGCTTCATAATATAAGATTTATAACGCAGAAGCAAGCCAATGTTTTTATTATTTTTCTCAGATCATACTGGAGTAATTTCCTGTGTGGATGCATCTACTTCTTTTTAAAAGAAATGTCTTCAAGCAGGCAAAATATAGGAATTGAAGTTTCCTTGGCACTTTGCACACCATCTAGAAAGACCCAATTGGCATTCAGTGATGTACCTGTCAATTGGGAAAGTACAGCAGTGACATCAAGAAAATCGTATCTTTCTGCTGCCCTGTCTGCCCTATTCCAAGAAAAAAACTGGTAAACTATTTCACAAAGAAGTATGTTTTGCAGCAACTGTAAATGCTTAATGAGAAAACAAAACTAAACAGGCCAGTACAGGAGCATACCTTTGCATTTGGCTTTTTAGCTTACTGCCAATGCTTTCAAAAATCTAACTATACCCACCCATTGACAGAAACCTACAATCCAAAAGCTAGACTCTTTCTGCACTGAAAGAGCTGATGTCTGTAAGCAGATACAATACTAGCCAAAAAGGAAATGCTTGTTTAAACCACAGCCCTACTTACAAAATTCTGCAGGGATTGACTGACATCAGTTTGCTGCAATTCCAGATGTCTTCACTAGACACTGTGATCCACACTTGTTAACATGTGAAAACTACAAAGCAATGATATATATGCACAGGTCCTCCCCATAGTTATGTTAAATGATTTTAGCTGTCCATTATTGTGCAAAACACATCCTTTCCAGATTCCAGTAATTGGTATGTGACTCCCGGTTGTGCTTGCAATACTGGGTTTTATACAATACTAAGAAATATTTGTTACCATTTTTGTGTGAAAAATACTTTAGTTGGTTTTCATCTGATCTTCCAATATTTTGGTGGGCTATTCTTTCTTAATAAAGAACAAAACAAAAGGGAAAATAAATCGTAAGCATCTTGATGTGTAACTTATTAACTGAAACTCTGCCAGAAATATTTCTATGATTTTCCACTAATTCCTCTGCAGGGCTTCCAAGTATTCACATGCCTTATCTTGAAAGTGTTATAAGCACTTGGCTGGAATTCACGAAGCCAGTTGTGAATGCCTAAACATCTTAGATAGATAATCATAATAGGCAATCACTCATGGCTCAGTATGATTGTCTTCCTTAGCTAGTGTCTTGGCATTGGGTCAGAATGACTGGATCCATATCCATCGCCCATGGGCCTGTCCATAGCTAGGGGCTTCCAGATTTCACACTCCTGCTCCTTTTGCCAATTTCCATGGGACTACTGTGGGTTTTGGTTTGCTTGGAAGATACCTGTGTGTAAATTTGTTTTATGTGTGCAGAGTGGCCAACACAGAGTCATCACAGGAAGAGGTTCTAATTCAGTGACATGGATACCATGAAAATTGGTGGCCTCTCTTCGGTTGCAGCCTTCATCTGCCTTCACAGCCATTGTAACATGCACCATGTTATCATCTGCCCTTTCTGTCATTGAGGACTTCCTCAGATTGTTCTATGTAATATACAAGACATGATGTAGCTGTGTCTTGCTGGCTGCCTCCCTCCCACCCAATGGCCAGCAGAACAGGTAGATAGGATGTATCTCTCATCTCAACCTCTCAGTCCTGATTTAACTGGCAGCAATCACCATGAGTCATGTCAGCCTGCTCTCCTGACAATCAGGTAGTAGCGGACTGACATTTTCATCATCATGACTGATCTGTAGTGTGACGGCCAAAGAATCCCATCACAGTTCCCCTGGGACAGGAGATTTTGCATCGGAAGATGAGGTGGGGGTTATCTTGTGAAGTGAGATATTTATGTTGGCTGTTATTGTTTTATGTTATTGTTTGTGAAATGTTTATATTTTATGTATTTGCACCTTTGAGTGCTTTGTAAACCACCCCAAGTCACTCTGAGAGATAGTGGCGGGATATAAATAAAGACGATGATTATCATCGTCATCATCAGTTTCAATTAGCTGCATCCCAATAAAAGTGGACAGATCCCAGTTGCACATACCATCTGTTACCTGGTAAATGGTGATGGGGAACTTTCCCAGTTTCTACATATCCCCCAAATTAGTGAATATGTAGAGATGATGAATATCATAAATATGAAATTCAACAATGACAAATATAAGATAGTCCACTTAGGCAGAAAAAAATGAAATGGAATAGAAATACTGTAAATAAATAAATAATCTGCTATGGCTTTTGGAGGAAGTTCCAAAATACTTGATAAGGTTCTTACAACAACCAGCTTAGTTTCTACTTATCTTGATACATGGAGGCGGGCTTTAGTGAATGTTAATTCCTATTACTAAAATGTTCAGATTTTTATCTCCAGTCAAACACATTGCAACTTCCTGAAGCATCAGTTGAGCTACCTGACCTCTTGTGTGGGAGCACACAATGTCTGCTAATTGTTTTCATGTAGCTCTGTGCCTGTTGCATCAAGGAGCACGGAATGGGATTTGTAGCCAGTTTTAAAATATGTGAATGCTGAAGCATTGCGCATAGCTAAACCTAGGTCATGAGAGCAGTCAAATCAATAAAGAGAGAAAATAGATCAATTAAATTCTGGAACACAAGACTTCTATTTAGAACTGCACACATCAACATGAATAAATACTCCAACAAAATATAAAATCACATTTGCAAATATCTGTTCTTATCAATACATGACTATGGCTACCTGCTGACTCAATGTTTCTCCTCCCTCTTCTGTAAAAAACAAAGTCTAATGAGTTAAGATATGTGACCTGGGCAATTAAGGAAGTAAACCTATTCCTGTGAAATGAACTTGCACATTGCACTTTCAGTTTACACCAGTAACAGTGTGCCTTTAAAAACACATTTCACTTCCTTGAGGGAATAACATTTCACTGGACTACAGCCTGCTGTGTGAGCTGCTGGAAGACTAATGTCCCAGCCAGTGTGGCGTGTCTGCAGCTACTAAGGGAAGGCTTTCTGTGAGTACCATTTGTTCTCGCCCAATTCAGCAAAGGTAGGTAGGAGAGAAAAGGAAAACTGGAATTAAACGGGGGTTGAGACTTTGTTGCATTCATAACCATATTTGTATTCTTCCTCTATGGATATCCTTGACTCTTAACAAAATACCTCTTTCCTACTGAGTAAACATTCTGTTGGCCTTCTCTGAATCTGCTCTAATTTGTCCATAGCTTTCTTAAAATGAGGCACCCAGGACTGAGCAGAGCCTAGTAAAGAAGAGGTCTGGCTTAACCAGATTTCTATTCCATTTGCAAGGAGCGTTTAGTCAAACACTAGCTGGCATCTTGTGAGTGACATATGCACAAGTTCCCTTACACATGTGACTGTAGTTCTTTGATCTTGGTGCAACATCTGCCTTCAGATTAAGATGGTGGAAGAAGAGCTGGACATACAATGCCATTGTTAATGTGGTGGAAGAAGAGGTGCACATACAGAACCATTGTTAATGTGGTGTCACTATGCATTGCACCTGCAGACATACTGCAATGATACATTTCATAGTTGCACATTCGGTGGTATGGCATTACAGTTCCTCAAGGAATAGTTGTTATGTAACTCTCCTCTTCATCTTGATGTAGGATCTTGGCTACCATTTCCTAGAGAGCTTTTGTGCACACATATGTGCAGACAAGAGATATAGGTGATAACTTTATCCCTTAAGCTGAGTGCACAAATAAACAGAAGCAGCAACCATGAACAGATGCTCTCCCCCTCAAATCCATTTAGTTCTTAGTTCTGTGGACCAGTAGTTGCATAGATTAGAGTTTATTAGGCAGTGGAGTGATTTAAGGTGGCGAGGAAGATGTTGTTGGGGAAAACAACCAGACTGAAAGTGAGTACTTGCTATTTCAAAATGTACAGAGCCATAGTTACAGTCTAGCATTTTTTGAAAAACCAAGGTTTTAGCAACACATTTCTATTTAGAAATAAAAGATAGGGGTATGTATTGCAGAATGCTTCTGATCAGGATTCCTGTCCCTCCAGAGGTTATTTTTCTGCGCTCTAGGGCTTTCTCTGGGTGTTGTGTGTGTTGGAAACTGGTTAAGCATTCTGATTAATCTGTGTTCATATCAGTACAAAGATGAGTAAATAAACTGCAGTTGTGCCTCTGTACATTATTTTTTAGGTCATCTTCAAGAATGGCATACAAGAAACAAAAATTTGGAAAATCAAATATAATTCAACTTCAAGTGTTTACAATATGATCAGAATCCTAAGAGTTAAGAATGCTATGGTGAAAATGCAATTCTTCAGAGCTTTCCAAAACACCTACAAAGCAGGAGCCTGACAAACCACCGATGGATGAGAAACCCATCATTTACAAGCTAGTACAGGGGCATTTCTGTCCGGTTTCTTGACCAATCTAACCATATAGGATGGTCAGCTTCTATTGATGACTTTGGAGTAGTTTTATAGGTTAAATACTGTAGCTGATTACATCACAAAAAAACCTATCTCAATATGCAAATGAAGGTCATCCATATCTGTGCTTGGTTTTGCATCACTTGTCCTGCTTTTAATAAGAAATTAAGCTGGAACTGCAACTCATCCCTGTATTGGGTGAAAATCTTATTAAATCTCTCCCCCTCATCCAGCTTCCACCAGGTGATACCCAGACAATTATCAGCCCTGTGGCCCATTTTTCTCAGTGTCCAAGCGCTAGATCCAAAGAGGATATATTCAGCACCTCCTTGTTACAAAGATGCATCCAGCTATATTTATGAGGATCATAGCGTTGGATAAGACCTTGTGGGCCATCCTGTCCAACCTTCTGCCAAGACGCAGGAAAATCACATTTAAAGCTCCAGCCTCTGCTTAAAAGTTTCCAAAGAAGGAGCCTCCACCATACTCCGGAGAAGAGAGTTCCATTGCTGAACAGCTCTCACAGGAAGTTCTCCCTACTGTTCAGGTGGAATCTCCTTTCCAGTAGTTTGAAGCCATTGTTCTGCATCCTAGTCTCCAGGCAGCAGAAAACAAACTTGCTCTCTCCTCCCTATGACTTCCCCTCACACATTTAGATATGGCTATCATGTCTCCTCTCAGGCTTCTCTCTTCTGCAGGCGTGTCTGAGAAATAGCAGCCAATACTCTGCTGAGAGTTCTTCCTGCTCAGGTTTGATGCCGTAAGCATAAACACCAGAAGGAAACCACAACACAATAAACAACCCAATGTAGCAAGCCATTTTGCAAAGTAAAGGCTATAGAGGTCACCTTTTCTATTTCATTGGTGGACTTCACCTTGCACAGCTGAAAAACAACTGTTCTTAACTCTGACCTCATTCTCAGAATCACCCACAAAACATTTTAGCAGCAACAGCAGCAAATATGTGGGGGTGGGGGGAGAAATAATAGGCCAGGAATCAACTTTTTCAGTAGTTCTTTTAAAACAACAATAACAACACTCAGTGGCAGAAATCCCCAGTCTGGTGGTCTTGCGTGCTCCAATGACTCATTGGCAACCACTACCAACAACGTTCTTTTCAAGCAAAGAGCAGCCAGGGGAGGGAGTATATTGGGGCTGGAGCAAAGGAGAAAACATCTTTGTACCACTCTGCTCCTGCTCTGTGATCTCTCTGACGTTATTTAAAGTAGAAACATGAATCATGCAGGCCTAAGTAAGTATTCAACATAACATAGTTTGGCCTTAATCTTGCCATGCTGCCATTGGAGAGAGAGATCTCACAAGTCACAGTTATTGGTCTTAGTTTGCTTCTGTTTTGTGCTTAGTGTCATATCTAGTTATTGTAGAAAATGTGGAAGCTAGAAATGGGACAGTTCCATTTGCAGGCTTTCACTTTCTCTTCCATAGATGCCTTTCCAGTTGTCATTACAGTCAATCTTTTTGTTATCTCAGTGCACATGCTGGTCACATGCTGAAAAAAAATCCCAAATAACTTTTTGAGATGCAGATAACTGGTAAATCTTCTAAAGCAGTGATTCTCAACCTTCCTAATGCCGTGACCCCTTAATACAGTTCCTCATGTTGTGGTGACCCTCAACCATAAAATTATTTTTGTTACTACTTCATAACTGTAATTTTGCCACTGTTATGAATCGCCATGTAAATATCTGATAGGCAGGATGTATTTTTATTTGCTGGACCAAATTTGGCACAAATACCTGATACGCCCACATTTGAATGCTGGTGGGGTTTGGGGGGGGGGTTGATTTTGTCATTTAGGAGTTGTAGTTGCTAGTATTTATAGTTCACCTATAATCAAAGAGCATTCTGAACTCCACCAATGATGGATTGAACCAAACTTGGCACACAGATCTTTCATGAACAACAGAAAATACTAGAAGAGTTTAGTGAGCATTGACCTTGAGTTTTASAATTATAGTTCACCTACATCCAGAGAGCACTGTGGACTCAAACAATGATGGATCAGGACCAAACTTGGCATGAATACTCAATATGCCCAAATATGAACACTGGCAGAGTTTGGGGGRAAATAGACCTTGACATTTGGGAGTTGTAGTTGCTGGGGTATATAGTTCAACTACAATCAAAGAGCATTCTGAACCCCACCAACAATTTAATGAATAAAAATTTCCCACACAGAACCCCATGATCCACAGAAAATACTATGTTTTCTGATGTCTTTAGTGACTCCCCGACACCCCCTCACGACCCCCTCTGGGGTCCCGATCCCCAGGCTGAGAAACGCTGTTCTAAAGTGACTTCTATTTTTTGAAGACTGCATGCAGTGTCAATCCATTTAAAACTGTTTCCCCACACAATTATGGAACACTAAATGTATGATATGCTGAGGTGTTTGTGAGATCAGGAATTCTTTCATCTTCAAACTGTACTCCATTTGTCGCAGAAGCCATGGTCTCTTTTTTAATCACAAGAGCAGTGATTGTACTGTGAAAAAAATCGAATACAAACCACTAGTTCTCAACGAAAGTGAATGACACCCACATCCTGAGCAGATTAAGAACAACAAAAAACATCAAAAGAACAAAAAAAGCAGAAGTCATGTGTTTGTTTTCACATGTTGCCAATGACACATTTCTCCAGTATCACTGATAGTGTTTACTTAATTGCTAAGCACTTGTAGCCTTTCAGATTAGCTCTGCTAGTACAGCGATTGCATCTGTACTTGAATAACCACACAGCAGAAGTGCAAACCCCATGGTTAAGTTGTTTTCAGATGTTTTCATCAGAAATCTACCTCAGATGCCTGTGTGCGTATGCAGATGTACAGGCCTGTGCATACGTCAGTCTTGCACACCTATCTTGGGAACAGACCTGATGTTCTGACGAACATTGGTTGACCTGGGGGGTATATTTAATAGGGAAGGAATTCATTTGCACTCAAAACCTCTGAGGAAAGGCTGGAGTCCTCTGGTAAGTCAAAAGGCAGCTTATATGATCTGAAATAAATCACAAAGGTCTTCATGAGCTTTCTTCATTCAGCAGAATGCTAAAACTCTTTGGGTCTCATAAATGTAAATAAAACTTGCATTTGGTGAAGAGAGCTTAGTACTCTTGGTCCTTACAGGGTAAATTATTCTTTCCTGATAACTAGGATGCCAAATTTTAAATGCATATGGATGCATAGACTTTGGCTGTCTTTGACCCTCAACATCCTCCTTCAACATTAAGATGTGCAAATGTGTTGGTCAAAATAAATAGTAATTTGGAAACTTGCCAGACATTGAAATAGGCGAAATAGTGTTGTTGAAGGCTGTAATGTCTGGAATCACTGGGTTGGTTTGAATTTTCCGGGCTGTATAACCATGTTGCAGAAGCATTCCCTCCTGATGTTTCACCCACATCTATGGCAGGTATCCTCAGACCTCACAACCTCTGAGGATGCCTGCCATAGATGTGAGCAAAACGTCAGAAGCGAATGCTTCTGAAACATGGTCATCCAGCCCCCAAACCACACAGCAACCTAGGCTAAATAGGTTTTGCTTCTTCATTAATGACCTTTTGTATTATTATGCTGATGTAGTGATGCTATCTACTTATTTTGTAAATATTTCTATTGTATCATTGCAAACAAATACACATCAGAGAATGCCTTCAGATTCCAGGGCAACAAGCAATTCCACACTGAAGACTTATCTATTGTACTTTGATCACTTTGAAAGGTTTTTCTGTGGTGTTTGGACTTGCAGTATCAACTTTATTAGTTATTTTATTTGTTTCTTTCCAAAGTGGATATTGCAAGCGGCTGCACTGGATCAACCCTTTCGACTGGGAGTATCCCATAGAAAGTGTACACACCCAGACAGCTGCTTCTTGTTCTCCACTTTATAAGATACTTTTCTTGACAAGCTTTCCTGTCCTTGTACAGAAATGGAAGCGCAACAGAACAAGCTGGATTTTTTCCACAAGCTTGGCTATGACAAGGACCAAGTGTGCAAAGTGCTGGAGAAGCTAGGTCAAGAGGCCCTAGAGAACGATTTGCTACAAGAGCTGATTCAAATGGGGGAAAGGCCTCTGGATCGTGAAAACAGGCTTCAGCAGCATTTCCATCCTAACCCTGTTGGCCATGGATCTAGTCACACCTTGACCGCTTTCCAACCATCTTCCGAGGAGGGCAATGTCCCCTCTAGTAACTTGAGGCCTGTTGTGATTGATGGCAGCAATGTTGCAATGAGGCAAGTAATTTTCCTTTCTTATCTCAATAGCTTCCTTATCCTTTCCTTTACCCTTATTCTTTCTCCTTTCTCCCAGAACTGAATTTAACCTCAATTTTCTAAATATATGCAATTGGCCCCGCATATTTATCTATTTAATTTTGGTGGATTTAATTATTTGTGGATTTAATTATTATAGTGTCTCTAGGAATCTCTAGGTCCCATAGTGTAATCCTGTAGCCAGTGTCTGCTGACTAAAGTAGACCATATGTTTGCACTGAGAAATCTAAAGATTCCTAAAAAGTTGTTTTTTCAGCTCAGAGTTTTCATTTTTGTAAGTGTCTTGCATCCCTGATCCTGGTAAATGTGGAGGGTCAACTGTATTAGAAAATATCAGTTGTGGTGAATGGGTTGTGGGGTCTGTAGGATGACTGTTTTCGGCATCTCCAATAAATGATATGGAAATTCCCATCTGATGTGATTGATCTATGATGGCACTTTCTCAAAGCAGACCCTAGCCATACATTTGTGTGAACACATTGTATAAATGATGGCTGAGATCCTACATCACTAAATATACCATCAAACACCCACAGGAAGAACTATGCGATGGTTCCCCTCCCACCACCTCCAGGTCGGTTTCACTTCAATAGTATATCCACCCCCAGGTCATTTTGTGGCTGATAGAGAGTAGAGGAATTGAAGAAACATCTGGCTAAATCCCCATAGCCAGATATAGGATAATGACATCATCCACCGGTATCTGCTAGAGGCCTTGACTGATGATGTAATAATTGTTATTGGAACGTCCCACTCTTCAACAGCCACAAAGTGAGTATGGGTGCAGGGAGCTATTGCAGCCAAACTGCATTTGGGGTGGGAGACTTTGGTCACCTTGGAGGGAGGAAGTGAATACCAACTAGGTTTGTTGTAGGTTTTTCGGGCTATATGGCCATGTTCTAGAAGCATTCTCTCCTGACGTTTCGCCTGCATCTATGGCAAGCATCCTCAGAGGTTGTGAGGTCTATTGGAAGTAGGAAAAATGGGTTTATATATCTGTGGAATGGCTGGGGTGGGGCAAGGAGCTCTTCCCTGCTGCAGTTAGGTGTGAATGTTTCAGCTGAGAATACAGAAATGCTGGACCACACCAACAACCACCATGTCAGACTACACAGAGAAGCCACTGAAATCCACAAGCATGTGGACAATTTCAACAGAAAGGAAGAACCATGAAAATGAACAAAATCTGGCTACCAGTATTAAAAAACTCAAAAATTACAACAGCAAAACAACAGAGAGGAAAAAACCAGGCACAGATTAACACCTCCCAGCAACAGATTTTCCCAGGCTTAGGCAGGCCTTCAAATGCTAATGAAGGTGATCAGCTAACATTCACACCTAACTGCAGCAGGGAAGAGCTCCTTGCCCCACCCCAGCCATTCCACAGATATATAAACCCATTTTTCCTACTTCCAACAGACCTCACACCTCTGAGGATGCTTGCCATAGATGCAGGCGAAACGTCAGGAGAAATGCCTCTAGAACATGGCTCTATAGCCCGAAAAAACCCACAAGAACCTATTGATTCCAGCCATGAAAGCCTTCGACAATACATTGAATACCAACTGCTTCATTGACACACATACACCTGCCAGCATATGTTGGACTTGGCTTCTGTGTGTCACTAGTTGGCATAGTGTATTGGTCTGAGAGTTGGGGTTTGACTCTGGAGATCCTAGCTCCGGAAACACATTGGGTGAATTGGGCAAGTCACATTTTCTCTGCTTCAGAGGAAGGCAAAAGGAACCCCCCTTCTCTAAATAGGTCTTGTCTAGAAAATCCCATGATACGATCATTTTGTGACTTGAAGGCTCTCGACAATAATAACAGCAAACATTATTAAGAGGATTAAGAGGATCACGATTGCCTAGTTTAATGCAAATCTACCCACTCCAAAAAGAGATACGTGTTCTCAGCTATGACAGTTAGTTTCTATATCAACTGCAAACTTCCTGACAACAGAGACATTTGTATGTGACACAGGGAGGAGCACAAAGATACAGAGAGGCAAACTTATAACCAAGTTCTTTAATGTGCTAAGGTAGTAGTTTTGGGAGGTACTTGTCTTTTCCTGACTTAAACTAGCTTAATGTAATTCTTTTTATTGAGGAAGAATTGAGAACAATGGTTATCTGAAGCAGGTGAGTTTCCTTACACAGAATACTGTCTCAGATCACAATTTCCTCAATTTTTTTTGAGGAACCAGAAATGTAACTGGTGAAAAATGGTACAAGTTTACCCCAGAAGGATATAGCATTATATTGTGTAGGTTAAATAGGTTGGCAGTCATGCAGCAGCTCTGGTCAGTAAGGTATATCCATCATTTGAAAGGCAAAGTATTCAGACTTTTAAATGTCCATTGCACCTTTTCTTTCACTTTGCCACAGTATGACCGTTTGCTTCAGTTACCAGAAATTTACAACTATGGTATAGGTGTTACATGCACAAATTCTATTGTTTATTGATCAGAATTGTTGTTGCGGACATGACACCTTCCACATTTTTCTCTCCTATGTAGATGCAATCTTTCTTTTGTCTATGCTCTTGAGTTCTTTAAAGGATGTCACATTGGTCCTGGCTTTTAGAACTGTTGATCAAGCAATGGCAGTGACAGAGGATAACAGCCCTGCAGATGGAGGGAACTCCAACATCACATGGTCTTCCAGATGTTGTAGATGGCAACTCCCACCAATGCTAGCCGGTATAGCTGAGGATAGCTAGGAATGTCAGTCATGTTTTCTATTTCAGATTGTATTGGATGATGGTTTAAATTAACTATTAAGTTGGTGGTTACAAACTGCAAAATCCTAAACTAGTCATCCAAGGGAACCAGGAAGGAGAAAACATTTTCCCTTCTCCACTAGTGTATCTCATATCTCTTCACAATTAATGCTGGAGGGAGTTCCTTTTCACTTGGCGTAGATTGCAGTGGTTCTCAATCTGCGATTCCTCAGACGTTTTGGCCTTCAACTCCCAGAAATCCTAATAGCTGGTAAACTGGCTGGGATTTCTGGGAGTTGTAGGCCAAAACACTTGGGACCCACAGGTTGAGAACCACTGGTGTAGAACATTTGAGTTGCCACCTAGTTCCATGGATTTGCTAGTAAAGATACAAATTGGCGTTAATTTGTCTTCTTAAAGAGAGGGCCTCTTATCTCCAAATCAAAGCTTGTAATCATCTGGATACACATATAAATGAACCAAGATTGGTCTTATGTGACGTAACATAATGAGACACTATCAGACTTCACTCAAGATACTCCACCCTATTTAGGTGCTTGAAGCCTTGGTAGTTTCTTAGTGCAACCTTCATCATATGCATCTGATAGCCCAGTCCAAAACAATGTGTGCAGATTTTCTCCAAGCGTAAATGTCAACTCCTCCTTTCTGTTGTTTTTCTGCGGGCAGGCCAGGACCTTTGTACTCTTGCAGGCTTTTAGCCAACTGACTAGCCACCAAGCCATTTTCAACAGGTGCTTTTAAACTATTTACAATTGAGGTGTATGTTAAGATACTAAATTTAACATACATTTAGCATTACAGTATACCTTTTCTATTTTTACGTTTTCCTGCTTTGTACCAAATGCATCTGCTTTTACGTGGGGTGTCGTTTGGACACCCCACATGAAAATGCAGGAGCTTGAGCTTTTAGGGGGCTGTCTGGATGCACCCTAAGCTGTAAAAGAGACAGGAAGTAGCAGGAGTATGGATTCATGTTCCAGCTGGATTGCAGAATCAAACACAATTTCACAGAGAGATATAAATGTGCAGATATATAGATGTATTTAAATTAGGAACTTGTTGTACAAATGTAATCATCTGCCAGGTAGTTATTGCTTTCATTTCATGCTACAAATAATTTCAAGATGAAAATAGAAAACAACAAAAGGACAGCTCTGTTTCTTTATCCCAGGACCTTTGAACAGGTGTTTCTGAACATAGTTTTTATTGTGTAAACATGGAGTGGATTTATGGCCTTTTACTGACACAGCTGAAAATACGTGTTCGATTCAGTCCAATTCAACGAGAACAACAGAAGAAACTCAGGTGCCCAAATAATGGGAGCCAACAAGAGGACTGGGATACAAATGCCTGACTCTTAAAAAAATGCTACTGTGAATTAGCTCTTCTTCAAGTTTAAAGGATTAAAGGATGGCTTTTATTAGTGTGGCTACCTGTCTCTGAGGCTGTCTTTTTCACTGCTGTGAATGATATTTGGCCAACATTGCAATTAGCAAAACTAAAACTCTTTAGGAAGTACTGTTGATAAAGACTACAACAGCTATATTGTTCACTGCTATTAATATTGGCAATATATTCAATATATTCAATGTTTTGGGGAGAAGAGGGTGCACAATCAAAATGTCTTAAAACAGTAGTCCTTAGCGCCCCCCCCCCCCCCCCCAAGATCTATTACTTGGTGTGCCTCCTGTTTCTTTTCTTAACTTGCCTGTCCTTTAAGCTCCTTATTGGGTTCTTACTCAGAGGATCTCCACTCCTGAAATGATAGGGAAAGACTGCTTGATGATGACACCCAGTCTATGGAATACAGTATGATAATTGTGTCCAAGGGAGATACATTCCTGAACATACCATGGAAAAGAGTGAAATCTATACAAATGAATGACTTCTGCCAGAAGTTATTGTGCAGCCATGCTGGAAAACCTAGGAATAATAATAATAATAATAATAATAATAATAATAATAATAACAACAACAACAACAACTTTATTTTTATACCCTTCCTCCATCTCTCCAAAGGGACTCAGGGTGGCTTACATAGGGACGAGCCTGAACAGCATAACTAAAATAGCACATTAAAATATATAATGGCAACATAAAAAAGAATAAAACAACAACATTATAACAAAATATAAAAGCAAAACATCAACCAAAAACCAATGAACTTCATAAGAACAATCACTTTCTGGGTACGAGTGGGTGTACAAAGGCAATTGTGAGGGCAGGGCTGATGGATAAAGTGCATAGATCACATGACACCAGTGAAGACAGAGGGCAGTATGTGAATAGAGCATTATGAATTTAAGTGCGCAACAATAGTAAAGTGCATGGACAAGATTCTGGATCCTAGTTGGGGCCAAGCTATCCGGGGGATTGTCTAGTCAAAGAAAATTCCTAGAGATGTATAAAAAGACACTAGAACAATGCAATGTCACAGGCAGAAGCAGTGTGAAAGCAGCAGAATTATCTGGTATTAAAATGTCATAATGATCACCTCCCCTTTCTCTCATTTTCTTTTTTGCAGCCATGGAAATAAAGAAGTGTTTTCATGCTTGGGAATTCAGCTGGTGGTGAACTGGTTCAAACACAGAGGTCACCAGTATATCAAAGTATTTGTCCCATCTTGGAGGAAAGAATCAAGTCGATTTGATACTCCCATTACAGGTAAACACACTCTCAACAAGATTTTAGATAAAGAGTTACAAAATATGAATTCCTATTAATATGCAAGCCCTACCTAGTGGAGTTAACAGAGGCTAGTACCCCTGTTGCTTTCATGTGTGAATTACCCCTTATCACTATTCATACTCTCCAATTCTTGAGTACCTGTCTGGATAGCTAATTTATTCATTGTACACACTACAGTATGCCCCCACCCCCATATATGCTGGACCAGTATCCATGGTTTCATTTATTCTCCCTGTATCCTCTCAGGGTATTATCTAGGTCCTGCAGTGTGACTCTATGGTATTCTTGGGACTTAACATCCTCCATTTCAATAGGGCTCACTATTATATGTGGTTTTTTATATCCACATGAAATCTAGCAATGTATCCCCCAGTGGCTACAGGAATTGTGCAGTACCAGCAATAACAAATAGAGGCCGGCATCCTGTTGAGCAGTTACAAATATGTAAGCTAAACTTACACATTCATAACTGTTCAGTATTAATATTTATGATTATGGTCCTTTTCCTCCCAATTTAAGTGCTTCCCACAACACAACCTAACAGTTCACAGCCTCACCAAACCATGGATGGTCTGTTCTGCAAGCAATTGGGGTGCTGCAGGATGACATTTTCTGCTCACTCCAACTTGTGATCTTTGATGTGACAAAGAGATGCAACAGAGGACCTGCTTCTGATTGTCACACCAGACGGCTGGAAATATCTCACTGTGACCCAATTGCTAGCATAACAGGCCTCGGTTGCTTGATTTGGCTGCTGAGACAGGTTTGTGGGGGTCAGGTTAGGAAGCGAAACATAGTTAATTATTCTTAATTACATGTGAGATGTAGGATCTTGGCTGGAATATATACGTGACAACAGTAGTGTTTGGGTCTTCTTAATACTTACCAAATAATCTATTCTTAATTACATGTGAGATGTAGGATCTTGGCTGGAATACATATGTGACAACAGTAGTGTTTGGGTCTTCTTAATACTTACCAAATAATCTACTGAGTTCACATTTCAGTTAACCTGAATTAATGCCATCTGATGTGAGCTTCAGATTGTGCTGTGATTTATCAGTCAACTCCTAAACATATCTTCAATCTTCTGGTGTGCATGGAAGTACAGTATGTTCATGTCCTGCATCTGTTTTTGCTTGCAACTTTGTTGTACCACGTACTAATGAGGTTGCTTCATTTCGATTGTTTTTACTTTTAGATCAGCAGATCCTTGAAAAACTTGCAAAAGAGGCAATTCTGGTATACACTCCATCCCGCAAAATGAAGGGGAAAAGGATGGTGTGCTATGATGATCGTTATATAGTTAAACTGGCCTATGAGATGGATGGGATCATTGTCTCCAACGACAACTTTCGGGATCTGCAGAATGAAAATCCTGAGTGGAAATGGTTCATTGAGCAGCGACTACTGATGTATTCCTTTGTCAATGACAAGTATGAGATTGAGTCATTTGATAAGATCCAATTACACCGTGGCACAAACACTTGTTTTCATTGGGTGACAGATTTTATTCTGCTAGCAGAAGTAATAGAGTCGAATTGCACTTGGAAAGCAATGATTGGAAATTTCCAAAGTGCTGAGTTGAACTGAAATATAAAACGGAACAAATGAGAAAAGGATATTAGACTGGTTTTCCATATTGTGGAATTAAATGAGAAAGAAAATTATATTGGTATGGCTTTGAAAAGGGCTTCCTTTGGGAACCAAATAGATGTATATGATGAAGACCTGAAACCTTGCAGAGCAGGCAACAACCTTCCCCAACCTGATACCTCTTCAGGCACAGGAGACTAAAGTTCCCATCATTCCCAGTTCTTAAATCTCTCTGTGTGTGGGTGTCAAAGTGTCCAGGTGTCATTGGACTACAGCTTCTATTATCCTTCACCATTGGCTATGCCCTCTAGATCTAATGGGGCTTGCAGCCCAACAAAATCTGGAGGGCCACAAGTTGCTCACCACTGCAATAAGTTCTTTGAATTTGTTTCTGTGGCACTAGTTGTGGGTGCATCCATAAACAACAAGCTCTCTTCCCTCCTCCTTTTTGTTTGATTCATGCTGTTGGTAATAAAATGTTGCATGTCCTCTTCTCTATTTACCAGTGTTAGGATTGCAAACGTGTTTGAAATATTATTTGTCATTTGTAAGAATCCATAGTGTAAATTTAAGTGCAGTTCAGAAAGTACATTTATGAAATTCCTTGTTCCAAGGAAGCCCCCCAGATCCTGGACCGGTGCCTGGCAGCTGTGATGAATGGGGTGAGGGCCAACAGACTGAGGTTTAATCCAGACAAGACAGAGGCCCTCCTGGTCGATCATGAGGCCGATCGGAGTTTAGGGTGGCGACCTGTGCTTGACACGGTTACACTCCCCCTGAGGACACAGGTTCACTGTCTGGGAGTTCTCCTGGATTCAGCGCTGATGCGTGAAGCACAGGTGTCAGCGGTTGCTGGGAGGTCTTCACACAGTTAAAACTAGTGTGCCAGCTGCTACCGTACCTCGAAAAGTCTGACTTGGCCACAGTGGTCCATGCCTTAGTTACATCCAGATTGGACTGCTGTAATGCGCTCTATATGGGGCTGCCTTTGAAGACAGCTCGGAAGCTACAATTTCTGCAAAGATTGGCAGCCAGGTTGCTAACTGGGGCTAACTTCAGGGAGCAAACTACACCCCTGTTAAAGCAGCTCCAGTGGCTTCCAATAAATTTTCGGGCCCAATTCAAAGTACAGGTTATTATCTATAAAGTCTTATACATTTTGAGACTGCATCTCCTATGAGCCAGTGTGGGCTCTGAGATCTGCTGGGGAGGCCCTTCTCTCCGTTCAAGCCTTCCAAGCCAGTTTAAAAACATGGCTTTTAAAACAAGCCTTTGATCTTATGTAGCTTTTTAAGGGTTAGTCCGATGACTTACTGTTGGCGTCACTTTGGCACTGGGTATGTGTCCATTGGAAACAACCTGTTTTTATCTGCAGCTATGAGTGCATGTTATCTATTTTGATATTTTATAATGTAATTATGTGTGTGATTGTAATTTCATGGTTTTATTGTTTTAGATCAATGTATTGTTTATATGAGGCACTTTGCTATATTTTGTTAGCCGCCCTGAGTCCCTTCAGGGAGATATTTCTATATTATAAGTTTCTTTAAGTAAATGCTGACCATTTTTATTTTTAGATTTATGCCTCCTGATGATCCCTTAGGTCGACATGGACCATCTCTTGGCAACTTTCTCAGAAAGAAACCACTTTTCCCTGAGCCAAAATGGCAGCTCTGTCCTTATGGTAGGTTTTGCTCACTGACTTACATTGCTTCTAATTGACTTCGCTTTTGGTTCACAAGCAGGTTCAGATGATGCAGAAAGAGCCAAAATACAGCAGCTCATGTGCCTGTTTTTTCTGTATTGATTGTTTATAGTCACCTTCACAAATGTTTATAGTCACCTTCACAGAGATACTCACGCTTTTTTAGCATTTAGTGCAGGCAACATGTCCTGGCAAAAAGTCTGGTTTTCTACACATAATATGACCAAAAAGGGGCCCCAAAAAGGAGGGCACTGCCTTCACAATAAGAATTCTACCTTCCCCAATGAAATTTCCCAGGAGTCCCCACATTTCTAGCAGTGGGATAAATTAAAACTCCAGTTGAAGATGTAGAAATAGAGTTTAGGGAATATGAGCACAGAAAATATAAGTTTTGGTTGGGAATAACTTAAAACTTGTATGCTGCTTACAGCTGCTTTGAGTCTCCTTTGGGGAGATAAAGTGGGGAATAATAATAATAACAATAACAATAATAATAATAATAATAATAATAATAATAATAATAAACCATGAGAGTAAAAATTCTAATTTTGAAGGGGCAATGCCCTAATTTTCCTCATTTGATAGTTATAACCCCGACTGTATTGTTAATTACAAATATATAGCTGTTCCTTTTATCACCCCCTGATTAACAAGTTCATACAATTAAAGCTATACATTTCCTGATGAGTGCAATGGCCAGTCTTGCTAGTGTAGGAATTATCTACAGTTCCTGTTATCCTTTACCATTACTCAGCATGCAAAGAGGGATTGACATGCAATTTCCAGTTGATGCCAGATTTGCATTGCTCATGAAAACCTACCACAACTTATTGTTGGCATATGAGAAGCTTGCAGTTCTGTCAACAACCACAAGGAAGCTGGGTGGCTCCCCCCCCCCCTTCGCTAAAATGACAAAATGCTAACTCCAAGCTAGCTGAAAATGTGCTTTTGAAAAATGGCACAGTCTCCATTCACATTTACTCTAATCATCCAGGTCTTTTGGACTTCAATTTCCAGAATCTCTGGCCAGCATAGAAAAGAGATTGTAGGGGTTCAATTTGAAACCTCTGGCTGAACAAAGGCTGATAACCACATTTCTCTCTATATATGTATGTATATGTACATATGTATGTACTTGTGTGCCTTCAAGTTGTTTCCGATTTATTGTGACTGTAAGGAGACTATATTGTGAAGTTTTCTTGGAAAAATTTATTCAGAGAGGGTTTGCCCTTGCTTTCCTCTGAGACTGAGAGAAGGTGACTTGCCCAAAATGGGTTTCAATGGTCAAGCAGGGATTCAAGCCCTGGTTTCCAGAGTCATGATCCAACACTCAAACCAATGGCTCTCAGGCATGTGTGTGTTGTGTAAAATATCAAACTAAAGCTCTCTAGCAGGGAATCTTCAATACACAATGAAACTACAATGCTCAGTAGTCCAAAAGAAGTTCACATGATGTAATATGAAGGAGACCCTTACCATGTGATCCACTTCTGTTTACTTACAGCTAATTATCTGCTCCTTTTCCTGCAGACAAAAAATGCACATATGGCATCAAATGCAAGTTTTCTCACCCAGAACGACTGAATTGGAACCATACTGCTGTAGCCGATGAGCTCCGAGCAAAGACAAGAGCATACTCACCCATTCAGAGTATAGAAGATGAGCTGGGAAGACCAAACTCCAGAAAGAACAGAAGTGGGAACACATCAAGTCAAGGTGGTCCTAGAGGTGATGATGCTGTGGGCAACAGAAGCACATCAGGATCCAGCTTGGCAATGCCTCACAATCTCATTCCACAGTGGGAAAGAGATGATGCCAGAGCATCAGCCAATGAGTGGACAAGCAGGCATCGAGTCAATTGGTCACCCGGATCAACTGTTTTACAACAAAGTCAGGCAAAAGAGGAGGAGGCTCTCTCAAAACAACTGACTGCATTATCTCTCAGTGAAAGGACCCATTCTGGAAATATTACGGGACCAGGGAAATACAAAGGTCTTGTGGGTGGTCCACACTGGGACCATTATCTCACATACAACCAGAGTCCACCTCTGCCTCGTCACAACCTGTGTTGGGACTGCCCATGTTTACAAGTATGTAATGCCCAAGGGTGTTGTCGGATGCAACCACCCTCTGTACAGACTTCACAAATGCCACCCAGTTCAGTAAGGCAAAGCATGAAGACCCAACCAGAAGGGCAGCACACCCCAATGGTGTCTTCAACTGAGATATTTTCATACTTTAAGCATGGAGACATACAATATCCTGAAAGTCTGCAGGGCAAGGGTTATGACCAGTTACTTCCGTTGGATTCCAGATCATTTGGAACAGTAGATCACTATGCTGAGAACGAGCCCCAACAGCTTATAGCGCTAAATCCACAAGCGAGTATCCAGCAAACTCTGTGCTTTGGCTTCCCATACAATGGGTTGCACCAAGCTATGTCCTCTTTCTCTTCTACTACGAGGAATACAGATATCAGGAACTTAATGCCATTTGTTCCAAATTATAGGAACCTTCAGAGTGATACCCCCAGCAGAAAGCCACAGTAAGGAGGTGGGCTTGGTTATACTTCATTACGAGTTAAGCATGCCTTGTCTAAAATGCTTGGGACAAGAAGGGTTTTAGGTTTTGAATTTTGGAATACCCGTATTTTCATATGTTTACCTAAGGGGAAATCTTGGAGATGGGAACCAAGCCTAAACACAAAACTCTTTGATGTTTTATATACTTCTTATCCTACCAACTTTTATACACTGTATGCAATCCTCCCTGTGTTCCTGCTTTGGGTTGGGCTATAGTATTCAATTGCTTTATTTTTGTTGCCTTTTTTGTTGGCGGGGAAGAGAGACAGGGCCTTTTCTGTGGTGGCCCCCCGGCTGTGGAACGCCCTTCCTATGGAGGTAAGATCAGCCCCCTCGCTAATGGTGTTCCAAAGAAGATTAAAAACTTGGATGTTTGAACGGGCATTCGGTTAAACAGTGCAATGAATGTGATGATTACAGGAATGGAAATTTGGACGACGGATTGGATCACGACTCTAGTTATGAGATGCATTGTGTTGTCTATTGTTGTGTCAATATTGTATATTATGCTTTTATGGTTTTAAATTGTATATCGTTGATTGATTTTTATCCTTGTTGTAAACCGCGTTGAGTCGCCTGTTGGGCTGAGAAACTGCGGTATACAAGTAAAGTAAGTAAGTAAATAAATTAATAAATAAATAATAGAAGTGCCCTTGGCTGGCCGTGAGGGGCACAGCTGATGCCATAGAAAGATGACCACCACAAAGACCCTTTTACGCCTGCAGAAAAACCTCTGCAAGTCTATCAGTTCCAGTTTGCACCTGTATCAACAATGGCCCCTGATTCAGGGCATACTAGGGCTTGGCAAGGATTTGTTTGTCCTTTCCAGCATAATGGATCAGAGCCTGGCAAACATATTTTTCTCCTTTTACTATCAGTGATAAGCAAGGGGGGGGGGGAGCTGCCAGCCTTAGCCAAATCCCTTGTCCACCTATGTGACCCTGTTGCAACATCCAAACTTCAAAAATATCCCTGCAGAGTGCAGGACAAATTTATTTATTTATTTGTTTATTTATTTATTTATTTACAGTATTTATATTCTGCCTTTTTCACTCCGCAGGGGACTCAGGTTGGATTACAATGCACATATACATGGCAAACATTCAAAGACATTGGAAGACAAGGAAAGAAAGTCCAAAATACAGCACATGGTATTTGAGTCTATCTCTCATTCAACCTGTGGGGACATGAGAGAAGCCTCCCACAAGGATGATAAAACATCAAAAAATCATCCAGGCGTCCCCTGGGCAACGTCCTTGCAGACGGCCAATTCTCTCACAACAGGAGCGGTTGCTCCTGACACGACAAAATAAATAAATAAATAAATAAATAAATAAATAAATAAATAAATAATTAGCCTGTGGCAAAAAAATGCATATCATTATCTTTTTAGCAAGCATTTGTGTAGACAATGTTTTAGTTTTAAAATATCTATTCCTTTTGTAACATGTAAGGAAACCAGACTAACAATGTCCCAGAAATCTGAAGGGGTTTTCCTGCTCCTCATATTTCCGAGGACTCTTCCTATCCAGTGCTTTGGAGAAAATGATGAGGGTTCTGCTACTGTATGGAAACTTGGTATAAATGGAAGATTGTAATCCCTAAAGTTACTACCGCACAAGTAGCGGTGGGGAAATTGCAATGGGGAAGAGAACTTGGAAGATATGGTTTAGTACTGCCAAGATACACAGAATTATTGGCACCAGAAATGACATTAGATGAGAAATGTGTGCTTCTCACAGGAGGTCATCTAAGGCTATTCAAATAGAGAAGCGGAGAAAGGAAAAGGAATATTACGCTAGTCAAAAAGTCTTGATAAGAGCATGGCAGTACAAAATCCCTTACTCACTAAAAATATCGTAATTGTATATCAGATGAGTAGCTCCTTCCCTGACAATGTGGGAGAATATCAGCTTGAGGATTCAACAATAAAACAACACAGAACAATTTGAGAAGTGGACTGGAAAACTGGAAAGGAAGAAGTGAAGATATGAGGAAAACACAACAGTGAACTGGAGAAGAATTTTTGATATTCGTGACCTGTCTAATGTGTAAGTCATCTCAATCCTTGAATGCAGAGGGAGATGGCAACAGGATTTAGTACAAAAATAGATACAACCTGTCAATGTTTATCATTATTATCATCACTATTATTATTAACAAAACTTTATTTATATTCTGCCCTATCTCCCCAAGAGGACCCAGGACGGATCACACTACACATATACAGTAAACATTCAGTGCCCTTTTGGAGATAGGACAGAGACAGACAGAACAGAAAGGAGGTATGTTGTGTTAATGACCAACACAAAAAAAATGAACAAAAGTTTGAATAGGAACATGACATACAGTATTAAGAAACACTGTCAAAAGCAAAGTTAAAACCCAATATTGAATATGATAGTTAAAACTGTATTAAATATTTATATGCTAAGATGATGAGATAAATATTAAAACCTTCTAAGACTGACAGTATCTTGCGATGACAAGCTATTGTTGCTGCACAAAAGCTAGCAACTTTGGCAGTAATTTTGGGGTGTTGGCCATCCAAAAGATCATTCAACTTTTGGCTGTCAAAGTTGAATGCAGTCTATCTACCTCCCCACTCCTTCATCGTGACCAATATCAAAATGCACATCTTGCACTCGGTTGTAATTTTTGGTAACACAGCAAGTGTTGACCATCCTTTTTGGGGTCATTGATATGAAAAGATGAGTAGTACTTGCACCACAAATTGCCTTTCTCCACATCCAATGACATAAAGCAGGCAACAAAACTGAATGCTGAGGCGACTGAACAAATGAAAAACAAATATTAAAGCTAAATATAATGTTTTCATGACAATAAGAATGTGTGCTCACAGCAGTTCCTCTCTGAATTTTGTATAAGAATTTGTGTGCCAGTTGGTTTGTCTTGTTGCGAGTTCATTTCCGGGCATAACTCAATGTGGCCTATAAAGCCCTATACAGTGTTTGGTCCAGGCTATATAATACTGCATTTGGAATAAAATGCAGTACACCTAATGAGCCACCCAGTGTCACTCTAGTTATGCAGAGTTTGTTTGACGGTACAGGTACCTCCTAATGCCACAGTACTCTCTCTCTGTGTAGATTTTCCAAAACCAATTACTAAAGACAGTAAATACTGTATTGGGAACTTACAATTGATGTGAGCATTCTGGGTTATTGACAATTAAACAGTAATGCGGTAATTTTGAATGTTGGTTCAAAAGAAAAAAGGGTACAATATTTTAAAATGAAAGGCCAATTGCACAAGCATTTGTTATTTTGGTGTCTTTATTACTTTGTTTCCAACCTATGGCAATCCTATAACAGACCACGTTTGTTCAGAGTGAGTGTGTGAGCCCAATGAGTTTTGTGGCTAAGCGGGAATTCAAAGCATGATCTCTATAGTCAAAGTCCAACTCCCAAAACACTATTCCATGCTGGCTCTCTGCACAACCACATAGGCTTAATATTTAGCAGCCCACATATACATTTTGTATTAGCAGTTCTCTTTAAAAAGTTTTAAATCTGAGTAGTCCCATTGCTCAAACTAAGGCCCGAGGGCCGAATACGGCCCTCCAAGGTCATTTACCCGGCCCTCACTCAGGGTCAACGTAAGTCTGAAATGACTTGAAAGCACACAACAACAACAATTCTATCTAATCAGCCAAAAGCAGGCCCACACTTCCCATTGAAATACTAGTAAGTTTATATTTGTTAAAGTTGTTCTTCATTTTAATTATTGTATTGTTTTTTTAAAAAAATTGCACTACAAATAAGATATGTGAAGTGTGCATAGGAATTCATTCATTCTTTTTAAAAATTATAATCTGGCCCTCCAACAATTTGAGGGACTGTGACCTGGCCCTCTGTTTAAAACGTTTGAGGACCCTTGGCTTAAACCTTAGCATCCAAGGCTCAGCTTCAAATCCAGGAGTAAGCCCAAAATTGACTTATTTATCATATCAGAAGCGAAGGGTACAGTTGTAATGTATTTTAAAACACAAACAAAATTTAAAAACTTGGCATTATACTAAATGTCCTTTGACCAGCAGCTGGCTACTTGCAAGTTCCCCGATGTTGCCATAAGAAGGCCCTCCATTGTGCATTTTGGCAGGGCTCAGACTGCATTGTAATAGGTGGTCTGTGGTTTGTTCTTCTCCGCACTCTGCACTCGCATGTGGCTGTATTTCTTAAGGTTGGCTCTGTGTATCGTGGTCCAGAGCGCAGTCTGTTCAGTGCCTTCCAAGTTGCCCAGCCTTCTGTGTGCCCAGGAGGGAGTCCCTCATATGGTATCAGCCATGGGTTGGGGTTCTGGTTTTTAGCCTGCCACTTTTGGACTCACACTTTCTGAGGTGTTCCTGTGAGTATCTCTGAAGAGCTTAGAAAACTATTTGTTGATTTAAGGTGTTGGCAACAGAGGATGGGCTGGAGATGTCACAGCCCCACATGCAAACCTGAGATTGTAGGGGAAGTGTAACTCCGTCCAGCACAAGCTGAATCCCTGTTCTCTAATCTGCCTTGCAACTGAGGAGGAACACTGCTGCCATTTCTCATTGTGTTTCAATGTGTTCATCCTGGTCTATTGTATGACTGCTTCTTCAAGAGAAATATTAGTGTTGAGCAAAAACAAGGTTTTCCCTCCAGGCAATATGACTCTGACTCCAGGCCTCATTACAGCAGGACCTTGCGATCCCTACATATCCATAGACAGGCTGAGCATCCATTATCTTGAAATGAAATTCTAAAAATGTTGAAAAATTGTCCATAAGGGTGGCTGATAGTGACATCTGACAATTCAGTGTACACAGACTTTGTTTCATGAAGAAAATTATTAGAAGTACTGCACAACATTATACATTCAAGCTAAGTGCACAAAGTGCATAATAATGAATGTTTTGTTAAGACTGGGGTCCCATCCCCAAGTTATCTCATTATGTATATGTAAATATTCCAAAAACCTAAAAAATTCCAAGCACTGTTGGTCCCAAGCTGTTGGTCCCAAGTTTTGGATGTGGGATACTTGACTTGTACAGACAAAGTTGCATTCATGATGATGGGCCTGTCACAGCCCTGCACCACCTGCTGCCAACTTGGAGTGTTGTGGGACTTAAAAGGCCATTGTATTAATTTGTACATGATAAGCATTTGTCTACAACAGCCAGTGTGGAGTAGTAATTTCTGTGTTGCAAATGGAAGTCCACTTGATGACCTTAGGCAAGTCACGCCCTCTTAGACTTACAAGAAGGCAACGGCAATGAAAACTTGACAAGAAAATGCTGCAATGAGATCCCTGTAAGTTTAAATTGACTTGAAGGCAAAACCTTTCATCTTATTGCCAAGACACTTTAAAAGATTAAATTTTAGTACCAAGATACAATATATCAGGAAACAGTATTGATTTTTTTTATCTAGAAAATTCTGGATAAAGGGTGGCTCTTGTACCAAAAGGACAATAAAGCAGGTGCTACCAAACCTTTCTGGACAGAGTGGAGGTGAAGGAACAAAATCACCCCATAGTTTCCTCTCATGCTTGGATCTGTAGCTACCTACCACAGGAAGGCCAGCATGTTGCTTTAACTATAGAGCTTTAGCAATGTATGTCCACTAATCACCTTCCTGAACCTGAAGGCAGCCAATCGAGCACCATCCTACTGCTTTGCCTTTTCTCACAGAGTTGTGTTGCCATGGTAAAAGAGGGACTTCTCCAGCTATGTCTCTCCTCTACATACCATCACAAATTACACCTGCACACATAATGGTCCCTGAAAGGACTCCATCTTGTTTATGAAGAAATATCTCCTGGGGAGAAAAATTGTCCAATTGTTTATCAGACACGAGGTTCTTTATTTGCCACGATTTGTGGGTTTTGCCCAAGCATTTTGAGGTTTTGTGGCACCAATGCACATTCCAACAACATCAACCATGCTATCTGGCCACCATGCTGCATCCTCTACAATGCCTGATAAAAAGCATCATTTCCAG